CACTCGAATTATTGACTTAATTAAGTGGAATTTTCATTCTCTATATATTTTGCTTTTGTATATTTACGCCTTTGCCGTACTAAATGCTACAAACAGCGACGTCAACGTCATGAATTTCATCATTCAAAATAGAATACCAGGAGAAGAGACAACGTAAAAGTCAATAGACACTGATAAATCAAGACTAAGTTGTCAGTTATCCGACAGAATTCTTCAATTCATTGGATTTGCCAGGTATGCCACCGAATATATTTAAGTCTAAAACTTGGTGTGCCTATCATTCCCCTTAGAAATATAAATCCATTACAACTGTGCAACGGTACAAGACTTGCAGTAAAAAAAAATGATGCACAATGTATTTGAAGCAACTATTTTGACTGGAAAATTCAAGGGTTAACATGTGTTGTTGCCACGAATTCCAATGATACCAACAGACGTGCTGTTTGATTTTAAACGCTTACAATTTCCCGTACGTCTAGCGTTTGCAATAACAATGAATAAAGCACAAGGCTAACCCCTGCAAGTATGTGGTTTAAACTTGCAGAGCCTATATTTCTCACATGGGCAATTATATGTTGCTTGCTCACGTGTGGGAAAATCAGATTTATTCGTACACGTGCCAGAAGAAAAAACAAAAAACATTGTGTATCCAATAAATAGAGTGAATTAAAACGAGGCGCTAAATGCTTTCATTATTAAAAAAGAATAATGTTTTATTGTAATGGGCCTAATTTGTTAGACTGGGTCGAGAGGTGGGCAGTGGCGAAACTAGAAAAAAAGGGCCACCCCGCAAAAAAATTTTCTATGTGTGTATGTATGTATATATATATACAAACACAGAATACAAACATTGGATAGTCATTTTTGGCCTGATCGGGTTTTGAAAAAAAAATGTTTTTTTTTTTTAAAATTCAATTTAAATAAATTACAACATGCCATGTGTGTCAGTGCATTAATCTGTTTTGAATTTTATTTTTTTAATGTTATTTTTTTTAATGCTTTAATTTGCAATAAAAACAATTAACAAATTATTTAAACATTAAGTTAAGTTAATAATAATAAATTACATTTTAGAGAGGTGATTCGTGTATGAATAAAAGACGTATGAAATAAAAATAAAGGGGGCGGGTCGTGTTTGACAGCCTCAAAGTTTATATAATAATACAAATACAAAACCAAATAAACCAAGAAAAACAACACAGGAACTGTTTTGTTCAGACAGAATGTCTCACCGTATCGGTGGGGTGGACGGGGTCATAGCAGTGTGTAGTCACACACGGGGGTATATGCTTGTCTAGGGTAGCAAGAAAATCATGCTTAGTGGTGTAGGTCTTAGTTGCTTTACATTCTTATAGTGATATATCTGCAACTGCTGTTAACAATGGCGTCGTGGCGAAATGAATAAATGATGTAATTAAAATGCTTTCAAATAACAGATTTCTACAACCTGCCAGATTTCTGCTGAAGAATTACATGGATGAACAAATTGAAAAAAAAACAACAACACAGTGGTGGGACAGGGAGGGATAGGTGGTGGTTGGTTGGATAAGGCGAGCGTGACATGACTGCTTAAAGGGGGGGATAACTCTCCCAGTCTCACGAGAAGGGTATGCCTATAAAACATGAAATATCTTTTTTTTTTTACAATCACATGAGATAAGTTAATACAAATAAATCACATGTATGAATAACATATGTTTAAAATAAAAAGAGCTTGTCATGTTCGAAAAGCCTCAAAGTTGATGCAATAATACAAAACAAAAAAAAAGTCTTAGTTGCTCTACATTTTTACAGTGATATAGATATCTATTAACAACTGCTGCTAGCAATAAAAGAAATTGCCGTGTATGGAAAGGTCAATAAATAGTGCAATTACGTTATTTTCAAAAACCAAAATTTAAACAACCTGCTTAACTCTGCCGAAAAGTTACATGGATGAACAATAATTTAAAAGAAAGGAACAGTACGTACAGTGGTGGGGCGGGGAGGGGTAGGTGGGGGTTGGTTGGGTATAAAGGCAGGCCAGGCGGTGCGATTGTTGTTGCGTGACATGACTGCTAAAAGGGGAGATAAAGCTTCCGGTCTTACGTGATACAGTATTAGGGATGTCCAGCATTGGTGACAGAGGGGGATCTCAAATGCATTGCTTTTTTTTTCGGGAGGTGATACATGCAAGAACAACAGATGTATGAAACACGGGAGCTTGTCGTGGTTGGCAATCTCAGAGTTGGTACAATACTATAATTTCAAAGAGAAATTAACATTCTTAATTCTTATAATGGTTTGTCTATTGACAGCTGTTGCTCACAATATAGAGCTTGCCGTGTATGGCAATGTAAATAAATAGTGCAATTACAAAACTTTCAAATAAGAAGTTCCAAACTGCCAAAATGTGACTAAAAGTTACATGGATAAACAAAATTGAAAGAAAAGAACAGTGGTGGGGCGGTGTATGTGGGAGTTAGTTGGGTAAGGCGGGATCGTTGATGCGTGACAAGAATGGTGAGGGGCGGGTCGCGCTGATTGACGGGACATGGGGAGACTGAAAGTTTGGGTTTAAGGCGAGCCGGGCGTAAAAGGCTGTGTTGTGTGTGAACTGACTCCTGAGGTGTTACTATTTATAGTGTGTGTGTTAGCGTGCTGTATTTGTCCAGTCGTCTGCTAAAAATTAAATCTAAAATTTGTCCCGTAAACTGTGAACTTTTTTTTTTCTTTTTTTTTTTGGCGGTTAAATATAACAAATGACAAAATATAACAACATTTCCAGATTACAGTTTAACTTTTTGATCACTTCCAAAAAAAAGGGAAAGAATCCCCCATACTCACATAATAAATTTTAAAGGGTATTCTGCTTAGTAATGTACATCTCAAATGCCTCGCATTTAAAAAAAAAAAGTGATACACGTGTAAACAACAAATGTATAAAATAAATGAACTTGTCCTGACTGACAGCATAAAAAATGAATACAATAATAAAATTTACAAAAAAAAAACAAAAACTGTGCCTGAGGGCGGGGAGGGTGTGATGAAAGGGGATGTGTCGGTTCGATTAGGCGGTCCAGGTGGCAAATGCAGTGTAATATGTTCTTTACGTTGTGGTGTTGCTAATTATGGTATGTGTGTTTGAGTGCTGTCATTGTCGAGTCGTCTACGATAAATCAAGTCTAGTACGTGTCCCGTAAACTGTACCTTGTCGTGTTTTGCTTTTATTCTGCTGTTCCAAATAGTCTGTCTATATATAGCTACCATCCTTGCTTTTTGCTCTAGGTCCGTCCTGTCTCTTTGTTTTGGGATTTTGTTTAGAGTTATGACTATATCGATATTGTAGGTCTCTATTTTTATTATTTTGGTTTCTAGCGTCTTTTTCATGTTTTGTATGGTGGGACATTCTAAATAGATGTGCGTTTCTGTTTCGGGTGTGTTTTGTCTGCATAGTGGGCAAAATGGTTTCTGTTGTTTTGCTAGGGGTGTTGAATTATAGATGAGTCTGTAAGTTATTTCCCTGGCTTTGGGTGTGATGGTTTTGAGGTGTAGGTTTGGTCTGAATATCGTGCAGGTTTATTCCTCCATGAAGTTTGTTTTCTACTAACGTGGTGTGGCTAATGTTTGAAATTGTGGTCTGAAATATGTACTCTCTAATGATTTTATTCAGATGTTTAATTGTTGGCTTTGGGATTGTTTTAGCCGTGGCTATATAGGTAATTTTTGGGATGACGTACCTATTAATTATAGATGACCTAGCAAAAAATGTTGTTGAGCTAACTTTATAAAGTGCTATGGTGTTTTGGATTTTGATTGAGACTTGTTTCCATTCATCATCGTTATTGGTGTGTGGGTTACTATAGTGGGTTATGCCGTAAAGTTTTAATTTGTTGGTACCTAGCATGTTTAGTGGGTAATTGGGTTTGTTGATTCAACGTCCAAGTCCCATGATTTTGGTTTTCATTAGGTTAATTTTTGACCCGCTACCCAGCCCAAAGTCAAGGAAAGCGTCTGTTATTAGAATGATAGATTTTTCGGTTTGGAGGGTAAAAGCTGTATCATCAGCGTACGCTAGAATTTTTTTGTTTGATTTGGAATGTCGATTCCTCTGATGTCTCTAGAGTTTCTAATACATTCTAACAGGGGTTCGAGTGTTAGTATAAAAAGAATTTGGAGATAAGGGGCAACCTTGTCTGACTGATTTATTTATTCTAAAGGGTTGGGAAATATTATGGTTTATCAGTAAGTGACTATGTGCATTAAAATAGATTATTTTTATCCATGTCGTATTGTCCTAAATTGTTTGCTTCTAAGATTTTGTGAAGGTATTTGTGAGCTACCCGGTCGAAAGCGTTTTCTGATCTAAACTGAGCATACATGCTTCAGTGTTTTGAATTTTATTTTTCATTCAATATGTTTGCTGTAATACTGCCTACCCTCTAGTATTTAGCCTGTCAAAAGAACATAAAGCGTAAAAGCTTTGTATGTGTAATGGTTTCTCGTGTTATGTTTATTTTTATGTCTGTTTTGTATTTGTATTGTTTGTTTTAAATATATTTCCTTTTTATGCTATGTCATTCTTTAGTATGTATTTTTTTTTAAATAATTAAGAGAAGTAATTGCTTTTTAATTTTTTTAGTACAAATATATTAAAAGGAGTTTATGAGCATCCATATTTAACCATTCAAAAAAGGGAAATAAGTCATAGAAGTGTTTTGAACGTTTGCCTATCTTTCACACTACAGCTCAGGCATACATTATATATATATATATATATATATATATATATATATATATATATATATATATATATATATATTTATATATTTACGCAACAGCATGTGTTAGCTACTGTATAACATCACTACTATAATAGATCTGTTTGTTATTCACAAAAGCTTTTACCGTCAAGTCAAAAATGCAAGAACTTTTTTTTAAACTATAAAAAATTTATTGTGGTCGGCCTAACTGTCAGATAAAATATTACGACCTTACAGTTTTCTAAGAAATATTCATATCCCACGAACAGTGCTGGTTATAGCATCTGAACAGTGCCTGTCTGTTCCACATGATTTAAAGACATTTACTGAAGGTGATAACGGGGTTCATGTCTATTACACAAAGAAACTACCATTGTCAAACAACATTAATCTCCCTATAGAAAGCATTGTACTGGTTTACAAAATTTTTGATAGAGACAACTTAAAAGCTATCAAAGACAGTTTGCCTTATATTGATGTTCGTTATCTGGTGGGAAAATGTTTTATATTGGTAACATCAGATAAAGAATTTTGCAGTGGTGATACTGAGGAAATTGAAACTTTTGCAAGCTCTTATCACTTGCCTATTCACTTTTTTTCTAAAACACAGGAAGCTGGCAGTGATGGTAAACCTCGTCTCCAGATCCCTTCCAACTTAATGGCCATTTATTGCCCGCCTGTGGGGAGCGATGTCAACAGCTTGATTATTAATGGCCATTTATTGCCCGCCTGTGGGGAGCGATGTCAACAGCTTGATTATTAATGGCCATTTATTGCCCGCCTGTGGGGAGCGATGTCAACAGCTTGATTATTAATGGCCATTTATTGTCCGCCTGTGGGGAGCGATGTCAACAGCTTGATTATTAATGGCCATTTATTGTCCGCCTGTGGGGAGCGATGTCAACAGCTTGATTATTAATGGCCATTTATTGCCCGCCTGTGGGGAGCGATGTCAACAGCTTGATTATTAATGCTACTATTGCCAGGAGTTCTCAGTGGGCTAAAGATGGTGGAAATACACAACTAACCTGAACTTATGACTATATATTTTATGTGACTTGAATGTTTTCTTGACTTGAAATACATGCAGATAAATGTTTTTTGTATCATTTCATGTAGGCCTATATGACTTTAGGAATTTAAAGTTTTAACTAATATCCAGTCTGGGTACATGAATCTGTTATAACCAGTACACTACTGATACACAAAACAATAAAAATGCTGTAAATAAGTGCTAATTTATTACAAATTCACAATGTATTTACAAAATTTAATGTGATGTGTTTTTATTTTTTGGTTAAGTTTAATTTTAGTTTTAAGCTCTGTTACATCGACACTGAATACAATCAGCCCTACATTTATTTTGAACTGTGGGCCCCCTCGCATTGCGGGGTCTGGCTGCACTGCTCCGCCCCTGGAGGATGGCTCCTCTTAAGAGCCTTTCGAGCTCTTCTCCTCAAACGTTTGCTTACCCATTCCTGAAACACAAAAAAAATATATCAGATACTGATAGTGTATCAAGCAGACACATGGAATTTTGTCAGATAACTCGAATATAATATATCTAGTTTTTTTGTGTGTGGGTAGAAGTTCCCTTTTCAAACCTGACGGTCTATAGGGCAAGTGAAGTAGAGTTCACTTGTTTCTGTGACCTCGGCATATGAAGAGATAGTGTAGTCAGCACTATGCCCAGCCGCCTTTACTTTCCCTAACGTGAGTAAGTTACCCATCAGAATTGGGTGGACTCAGGGCAGGTGCGGACCGCACCGTGTGACACCATTTAGGGGGGGGGGGGGTGACACCAAGGCAATAAAGTGCTCAATATATACAGTAAAATGATAATTCCACTTAATTAAATGATTAATTAGAGTGTTAAATAGTCTTTTAATAGCAAATTTGTCAAATCCCGACAATGGTAGAGGGGGGGGGGGGGTGACACCATGACGTAAACCTGCTAATGATAGAGAAAACATGCTACATCAAGCTGTATTTATAACTTACTTTAGATAAAAATTGTTAGTATTATTTCTGAGCACAGTTTAAAGCAATCGCAGTGGGGGATATGCCTGAGGTAAACGGTTTGGTTGAGAATCGTAATAACTATGTTAATTCATGTATGGGGGGGGGGTAAAACAACTAAATACATTTAAAATAGACGTGAATACATATACACACACTATATATATATATATATATATATATATATATATATATATATATATATATATATATATATATATATATATATATATATATATATATATATATATAATGTCCTAGGTATAAGATATATATTAATATTTTTTACGGAGGGGGGGGGGGGGGTGACACCATTATGTGCCGCACCGGGTGACACCCGACCTCGTTACGCCACTGACTCAGGGACGGTCTACTGAATTCAACCCAGATTCGAACTCGAGATTTCGGGTTAGCAGTCTAGCTCTCTAGCGCTAGACCACTTCGTCCCCTGATGAGTGGGTGCTTTCATTATTATTTTAAGCAAGGACTGCAATGAGTATAGTCAGGTCGTAAAGACGTGCTGCAAGTGGCAATACCTATTTAGGATGTGTAGCCCTACTGTCATACAAGAGCTTATACCTATTTAGGATGTGTAGCCCTACTGTCATACAAGAGGTTATACCTATTTAGGATGTGTAGCCCTACTGTCATACAAGAGGTTATACCTATTTAGGATGTGTAGGCCTACTGTCATACAAGAGGTTATACCTATTTAGGATGTGTAGGCCTACTGTCATACAAGTGGTTATACCTATTTGGAATGTGAAGTTCTACTGTCATACAAGTGACAACTGTTTAGGCTGGCTTAGACTGCTCTCATAAAGTGCAATCACTTAGAACACGAGTTTAAAATAAGGCTACCATAAGAGAAGTAATGCAACTTTACACAACACCCACTCCTGACACGGTTGGGATGTAGACGAGTCGCCCAGTATAGACCCAGGCTAAATAAACATTAGATTATGCTGGTTCCATCACCCAAGGACGTGTCCTTAACAGGAATCACAACATGTCATCATGCGTGCTGCTCAATATGGTTGGTGAACAGGGGGAAACTACTGTTGCTTTTTTACACAGCATATTACTGTTGTGACGCAAACAGTTTGAATATTTTAAATTTCAGATTTTAGACTATTTCTAAAGAAACTACCAGACAAGTGATTTTTAAAAAATGTTAGGTATTGATTTAAAAAAAAAAACTTTTACATAGATTTCAGACTTTGTATATGACCTAGTATCAATACACAGGCTGTAACCCCTATCTCCATAAAAAAAAAACGTTCTAACAAAACTTACCTTTTTTCCTGGCACCACAGGACACTTTGCGATCTGCTGATTTATTTTTTCCACCCGATCTTCTACCTAGGACATGAAATTGTGTGATAAATGTTCAAGTTTAATTATTAATACAACTAGACATTTATGAAGATGATGTAAACTAGTAGCTTACTATGATCAACAATAGTTAGAAATGTAAATTATTAAACAAATACTGGGCATTGCCAATAGCAGGCCATACATTTCTTAATACAAATAAGACTAAAATAAAAATATAAAAAACCTCATCAATCTTTCTTTTAAGATCCTTTTAATCAAGGCTTTCAGAATCCTTGACTGATTTGTTTTCCAAATATAGATCAAATATAGACAAATATAGATCACGCTAGCTTGTGTGAAACAACTTTTGAATGTTTAAGAATCGAATCGATAACACATTTTATTTTTCCATTAATTAAAATTAATAAATTAAAAAAAAATTAATTAAAGGCCTACCAGCTTGATTCTCTTTTCCAAATTGATTACCCGATCTTCATCCTAGGACATGAAATTGTGTGATAAATTTTGAAGTTTAATTATTAATATAACGACATTTACGAAGATGATGTAAACTAGTAGTTTACTATGATAAACAATAGTTAGAAATGTAAATTACTAAAGAAATACTGGCCATTGCCAATAGCAAGCCATACATTTCTGAATACAAATAAGACTAAAATAAAAATATAAAAAACCTCAACCTTTCTATTAAGATCCTTTGGATCAGCAAATACTGTATCCTCAGCAGTTTCCACCTGAGACAAATATAGATCACGCTAGCTTGTGTGAAGCAACATTTGAATGTTAAAGAATCGAATCGATAACACATTTTGATTACAACAGAAACCTAAGTAAAACAATTGTTTTCTTTAAAATAGTTTACAACATTTGTAAGTCGACAAATACCAAATTGTCAACTGCACAGATTAGCCAACGCAAAGCAAACTGTTGTATGTGTTTTGTTTTCACTGTAAATATAATAAAGTTCATCTGCCTACTGTCATACAAGTGACAAAACCTATTTAGGATGTGCAGTGTAGTCCTACTGTCATACAAGTGAAAATACATATTTAGGATGTGTAGTGCAGTTCTACTGCATACAAGTGACAATACCTATTTGGGATGTGAATGCCTACTGTCATACAAGTGACACAAACTATTTGGGATGTGAAGTTCTACTGTCATACAAGTGACAATTACTATTTAGTAATAGTATGGCTTAGACTGCTCTCATAAAGTGCAATCACTTAGAACACGAGTTTAAAATAAGGCTACCATAAGAGAAGTAATACAACTTTACACAACACCCACTCCTGACATGGTTGGGATGTAGACGAGTCGCCCAGTATAGACCCAGGCTAAATAAACATTAGATTATGCTGGTTCCATCACCCAATGACGTGTCCTTAACAGGAATCACAACATGTCATCATGCGTGCTGCTCAATAATGGTTGGTGAACAGGGGGAAACTACTGTTGTTTTTTTACACAGCATATTACTGTTGTGACGCAAACAGTTTGAATATTTTAAATTTTAGATTCCAGATTATTTCTAAAGAAACTACCAGACAAATGATTTTAAAAACTGTTAGGTATTGATTTTTAAAAAAAAACTTTTACATAGATTTCAGACTTTGTATATGACCTAGTATCAATACACAGGCTGTAACCCTTTATCTCTACCAAAAAAAAACGTTCTAACAAAACTTACCTTTATATTTGCTGGCACAGGACAATTGGCGATCTAAGAACACAATAGAATGTATATTTATTTATACTGTGTATTATTTCATTTTTTTCCGTAAATTAAAATTACTGAATATTTTTAAAAAATTAATTATAGGCCTAGTTTGCACATAATCTGTTTATTGCTTTCTTCCAGATTATTGACCCAATCTTCTACCTAGGACATGAAATCGCGTGATAAATTTTCAAGTTTAATTATTAATATAACGACATTTATGAAGATGATGTAAACTAGTAGCTTACTATGATCAACAATAGTTAGAAATGTAAATTACAAAACAAATACTGGGCATTGCCAATAGCAAGCCATACATTTCTTAATACAAATAAAATCCTTTGGGTCATGGCTTTCGGAATCCTTGAATGATTTGTTTTCCAAATATAGACAAATATAGATTACGCTAGCTTGTGTGAAACAACATTTGAATGTTTAAGAATCGAATCGAAACACATTTTGATTACAACAGAAACATAAGTAAAATTGTTTTCTTTAAAATAGTTTACAACTGTTGTAAGTCGACAAATACCAAATTGTCAAGTGCATCGATTAGGCAACGCAAAGCAAACGTTTTTTGTTTTCACTGTAAATATAGTATGTTGGCTAGAATAAAAATATAATGAGAAATATTAATATAGATTTAGATCTATCGGCGTACTAGCCCAGTCAACGTGGCTAGTTCCTTATTTCCCATTCACTACACACAACACACGGCGGCCTCGCGAACCCGTTAACTTCATTCTTTTCTGGGGGTTTCCTGACCTATTTCTAACGGGAAAACTTTACAACCTCGTTTTGAAAAACGAAGTGTCTACTCGGAATAAGATTTTTCGGCAAAAGATAGTTCTGCGCATGCGCAGCGACCTATGGCTAGGGTTAGGTCTAGAATGAGGGTTAGGGGTAGGATTAGGGATAGGGATAGGGTTAGGGATATGATTAGGGCTAGGGTTAGGGATAGGATTAGGGTTAGGGTTAGGATTAAGGATAGGGTTAAGGATAGGATTAGGGTTGGTATTAGGGTTCTGCGGTTGTAAACACACGCATGCGCAGTACCATCGAAAACATCGCCGCTAAGGCAAGTCGTAGTTTCTCTCCATTGCGCATGCGTATCGCATGCGTATCTTATTCCGACTAGAATTGGCCTTTGAAAAATATGGTCGTGGCGAGTGGAACAGTGTGTCAAAATAAAAGCCTTTGTGTTGTCAAGAGAAAGTAAGAGCGGTATCGACACACCGCGGTTTGATCTAGATCTACATAAAACTCGCAGATTACATATGCGATAAATACAGCTATAAGTAAAAAATAAAGCGTTTATTTTAAAATAATTAAATGAGTAAGCCCACACTTCTATTTTGGAATTGACTTAGTCAAGGTGGTCGTCCATAAATAACGATACGCACCGAGTTACGCCCGTGTGTGTGTATGGGGGGGGGGGGAGGGGGGAGGGGGGAGAGAGAAAAATGTGACTGCTTTATTTTGAGCGTTTAAAAAACAGAATTATGAAAAACTAATCCATATAAGTATATTTATGCATATTTTAGAGTGGATGCCTGTGCGTGTGTGTGTGTGTGTGGGGGGGGGGGGTGGGATGGGAATAACTTTGGCTAAAATAGTTTGACACTATATATATAGTAGGCTTACGGTCCTTTAGTGGTTGTTTCCAATGCTATGCCAAAAGCGCCTACAAAATGAAACATTTCTAAGCCTTTTGATAGTAGGCCTATAACTGTCAAGATAATTTACTCTAATTAAAACAATTTAGTTTGCATCGTATTGCATCAGTAGTAAGCACATCAGACAATGTAGCATTGAAACTTTTTGTTCAACTTACAACTTTTATAAAAATTATGCGATTCTGTATGCACAAGACAATAAGAAAGGCTTAAGATATTTTGTAATCTCTTGTAATCGTCAACATCAGAAAGATCTACAGGAATAGCAGAAAGGTGGTCTACTCAAGTAAAGAAAATATATTGTTTAGGTACGTTGGTGGCTGAATTCAATTTTGAAATCCAGGACTTGAAAACACTTTAAAATAGCAAAGTAATCATAACCGTATTCTAAAAAATAATATATAAGCCATGCATACAATACATTCAGACCACTAACTGCTATACTAGCCCTAATTGTCAACTCCTTCAGAGCCACAGAACAGATTTTAAATGATGGTACAATGAACTTGTTAGACCAGGGCAGCAGATAGATAAACTGACTGAATCTAGACTTAAACACACACTTTATTAAAAATAGTGTCTGTCATTATGACAAACTGCTGGATAACAAATGTAAAAAATAACATACAGAGTGTATGTAAGTTGATCAGGATGTTTCAGTGTTATTTGACTTTGGTTACCAGTCTTGTTTTATACACACATATTTGTATTTGTAATAGTAATGTTAAATTGGATTTTTTTGTTTCAATGTTTTTTTTTTCAAATTTAAATACAGCCATTCATCATCTTTTTAATTAGTTGTTCTTATAAATATATGAATATTCAATTGAGGTATAACAAATGAGGTGGTAGTGAGAAGAGCAGGGTAAACCACACTCCTGAGAACACAACCATGTGTCACTACTGGTGTCATTTACGTAGAATTTGTTTATTTAGCCTTATTAAGCTCAGCCATGTTGAGATTGTTTTGTTTTATGATCCCAAAGATTTACAGAGAGAAGATTCAATGAGAAAGAAAATATACAGTGTAAAATAAGTTTTAAAAGAGTGGAGTTTAACTAGTTGGACAATAATACATTATTTCAACATTTTAACATTTTAACTGCTCAGGATAAAATATTGACTTTATAGGGGACAAATGCAGTATGTCCAAAAACACAGTCATAAGAAAATTGAATTAATAAAGCTCCTTTAAATAGGGCAAAAAACTTCCAAATTAATATTAGCTATTAACTTTTTATGACATTTTACACAAGTGTTCCCGTAATGTGTGTTATTGACAACATAAGTGTAAATGTACATTGATTTCACAATAATTTGGACATACTGCATTTGTCTTCTATTGGCAAGCTTGTAGAGAACTACCAGCAGTAAAATATTTGAAAACTAGAAAGTAACATTTAAAAACAAATAACATTTTGCACTATTTTAATATCTTCTAACCAGAATCCAGATGCAAGTCCATAGAACACCCCTGAGTCTACCCAGCTCTGATGGGTACCTGACTCACAAATGGGAAACTAAAGGCGGCTGGGCATAAAGCGGACCACACTATCCCCTCATTTGCCAAAGTCACAGAAACAGCTGAATTCTACAGGGTTCCCGCGGCCTCCTGATATTTCAGGATGTCCTGGAATTCTCCTTGAATTTTAAAAATCCAGAAAACTCCTGGAATTTTAACATTTTTCCTGAAATTTTGTAAAATGTCCTGAAATTTTATTCGCGTGGATAATTTTAGCATATATTTTTTTCGTGCGTTAGATCTCTAGGTAATCAGATCTGACCCCCCCCCCCCCCCCCCCCGACAAGTAAAATGTTCTGCTTTGTCGATTCTGCACATACAAGGCATACTCTGATGGGTACCTAACTCACGTTAGGGAAAGTAAAGGCAGCTGGGCATAGTGCTGACCACACTATCTCTTCATATGCCGAGGTCACAGAAACAGGTGAACTCTACTTCACTTGCCGTATAGACCGTCAGGTTTGAAAAGGGAACTTTACCTCTGTACAGTAGATGCTGCCATTAAAAACATTTACATCTAACACATTAAATTAGATACTTTGTTTAATAAATCCTGTAAGCAGGATGCTGTTTACCTTGGCAGCCTTGCTGTTCTTGAACTCGAGAACTTTGTGCTCAGCATCTGTAATATTAGCTCCTATGTCCTCACCAGACACTTTTTGTGCTGGTACTGCTGGGGGACTTTGGTCAGGTTTCCAATCTTGGCCAGACACTGATTTATAGTCTGCTTTAAGTTGTAGCAGTGTCTTTACTGCTGCGTCACTCTGTCAGAAACATTTTAGGTATTAGTATATACCAAGTTTACACATGAGTTTACAAGTTTATTTATTTTAATAATCACTCGCGTCTACAATAGTCGATTTTTTTTCGGCCCCCCCCCCCTCCCGTGTGGACGTCATAAATGGATGACCCCTAAGCTCTCTTTATATAGCCCCTAAATGAAAGCTGTGGTGCCACTCGTTTTTTATGTGAATCCTGAAAATCAATCCCAACATTTTACCCCCCCCCCCCCCCCCGACAAGTAAAATGTTCTGCTTTGTCGATTCTGCACATACAAGGCATACTCTGATGGGTACCTAACTCACGTTAGGGAAAGTAAAGGCAGCTGGGCATAGTGCTGACCACACTATCTCTTCATATGCCGAGGTCACAGAAACAGGTGAACTCTACTTCACTTGCCGTATAGACCGTCAGGTTTGAAAAGGGAACTTTACCTCTGTACAGTAGATGCTGCCATTAAAAACATTTACATCTAACACATTAAATTAGATACTTTGTTTAATAAATCCTGTAAGCAGGATGCTGTTTACCTTGGCAGCCTTGCTGTTCTTGAACTCGAGAACTTTGTGCTCAGCATCTGTAATATTAGCTCCTATGTCCTCACCAGACACTTTTTGTGCTGGTACTGCTGGGGGACTTTGGTCAGGTTTCCAATCTTGGCCAGACACTGATTTATAGTCTGCTTTAAGTTGTAGCAGTGTCTTTACTGCTGCGTCACTCTGTCAGAAACATTTTAGGTATTAGTATATACCAAGTTTACACATGAGTTTACAAGTTTATTTATTTTAATAATCACTCGCGTCTACAATAGTCGATTTTTTTTCGGCCCCCCCCCCCCCTCCCGTGTGGACGTCATAAATGGATGACCCCTAAGCTCTCTTTATATAGCCCCTAAATGAAAGCTGTGGTGCCACTCGTTTTTTATGTGAATCCTGAAAATCAATCCCAACATTTTACCCCCCCCCCCCCCGACAAGTAAAATGTTCTGCTTTGTCGATTCTGCACATACAAGGCATACTCTGATGGGTACCTAACTCACGTTAGGGAAAGTAAAGGCAGCTGGGCATAGTGCTGACCACACAATCTCTTCATATGCCGAGGTCACAGAAACAGGTGAACTCTACTTCACTTGCCGTATAGACCGTCAGGTTTGAAAAGGGAACTTTACCTCTGTACAGTAGATGCTGCCATTAAAAACATTTACATCTAACACATTAAATTAGATACTTTGTTTAATAAATCCTGTAAGCAGGATGCTGTTTACCTTGGCAGCCTTGCTGTTCTTGAACTCGAGAACTTTGTGCTCAGCATCTGTAATATTAGCTCCTATGTCCTCACCAGACACTTTTTGTGCTGGTACTGCTGGGGGACTTTGGTCAGGTTTCCAATCTTGGCCAGACACTGATTTATAGTCTGCTTTAAGTTGTAGCATTGTCTTTACTTTATTTTCACTCTGTCAGAAACATTTTAGGTATTAGTATATACCAAGTTTACACATGAGTTTACAAGTTTATTTATTTTAATAATCAGCTTATAAATAAATGTTTCCAAGATACACGCAGTAAGATTGGAAAAAAACATCTTTAAAAAATAAAAAATTTTAACATACAAATAAAGTAATAAATAAGGTAATCTATTCCATAGAGTATTATATCCATGTAAATATTTCACTGTAAATATAGTAAAGTTCATCTAATTCATTGACTCAGAGACGCTCCACTGAATCGGACCTGGATTCGAACTCGAGACTCTCGGGTTAGCAGTCTAGCTCTCTACCGCTAGACCACGCCGTCCCCGATTATTAAATTTGTTTTAAATTGTAAGGACTTCGATGTTAAATACAACATGTGGACATCAGCATGGGCTCGACCCCCCTCCCCAAGTCCAGTCGCGTCTACAATAGTCGATTTTTTTTCGAACCCCCCCCCCCTCCCGTGTGGACGTCACAAATGGATGACCCCTAAGCTCTCTTTATATAGCCCCTAAATGAAAGCTGTGGTGCCACTCGTTTTTTATGTGAATCCTGAAAATCAATCCCAACATTTTACCAAACCTGAAACCGAAATATTTAAAAACCCTGAAACTTAATGTCGCACGGAATTTTAAAATAAAATTGAATATTTTCATTTCTTTTTCAAGATGAGCCATGTTATTGCCATTATTATTAAGTACGAGATAAATGACCCATTAAGGGAGAAATACAACGGGCACTAGGTTGATAGTGCTGTCTTTTTCTTTAAACCGAAACCAAAATCACAACCCCTACTTCAAATTTAATAGGAGACGAAAAAATGTCATTGAAAAAGGATTTTTATCCAGAATCGGCATTTTAACCTTGTTCTACACGTAGTTACTGCACATTAAATACAGAAATCGTTGTAGTTATACCCCTAAACCTTGCACCTAAGCTCAAACATGACTATAGTCGCATTTAAAGTTTCTTTCAGGACAAGAAAGTAACCGCAGCATAAAGCTATACATTTGGTTTTTACAAAACCACTATTAAGGCAAAGATGCACAAAGTTTAAATTTAAAAAGCTACAATTCCTATTTATGTGAGTTTTTAAGACACCTTAAGCAGACGTGGAGTTTTGTCAGGTAATCTATTGAACAGACAACTGGTACCACCAGCAACTGTGATGTAAAAAAAAATCTAGTTTTTATATAATAAGGGTGCTTTCATTATTATTTTAAGCGAGGACTGCAATGAGTATAGGAAGGTCGTAAAGGCATCCCCCCTTATCTCCTGTTTTAAGGCACGGTAGTTCTATTACTGATCGTAGCTTATTTAGTACAACATTAAAAAAAAACAAGTATACAAAATTCAGTTATGGGAAACTTCCCATTTTTTATATGCTCGTAAACAATTGTATGGATAAGGGGGGGGGGGGGTTGTAGTGCGGAGCTGGAAATCAATTTATAGTGTACTGTGGTTGAACCGAACAAAGAAAGTGAACTGTTTTTGTAAAGCAAGTGAGCTGTTTTTGTAAAGCAAGTGAGCTGTTTTTGTAAAGCAAGTGAGCTGTTTTTGTAAAGCAAGTGAGCTGTTTTTGTAAAGCAAGTGAGCTGTTTTTGTAAAGCAAGTGAGCTGTTTTTGTAAAGCAAGTGAGCTGTTTTTTTGGATGTCACCCAGTGCGGTTACCCTTGGTGTTACCCCTCCCCCCCCCCCCACTAAAAGGAAACATCATATTTTATATATATATATATATATATATATATATATATATATATATATATATATATATATATATACGTATGATAGCTTTAAAGGGTTTACAGTTAATTGTAAAGATGTTTATCTATAGTCGATTATTAATATAGCTGGATGTAGCACTATTTTCTCTTTAGTTAGTAGGTTCATGTCATGGTGTCACACATCAGCCTACCCCACCCCTTATCGGGATCGTCAAATTGCACTTGAAATAATTTTTAACTCTAATTAATCATTCATTGAACTGGTAAAGAGCATATTTGTTCCATTTATTTTGCATTTTTTTGTCTTAGTGTCACCCCCACCCCTAAATGGTGTCACCGGTGTGGTCCGCACCCCTACCCCTCCTTTCGCCCCCGCCTCGTGACAAAATGTCTGTAAGAAATCTTTGCCTCACCTGCCCTGTGGTTTTTCAAGCGAGACCGTGAAATGTATTAAAAATATGAAACATTTAACTTTAACTAAAATATGAGGACATTAAGATAGCTGGGAACATACGCGTTTACAATAAAATATGTGCTATATTATAGAAATAGCCCAACCGGTATCGATATGGTAAATTTGAATTTGGAAGTTAAATATTTCATTGAAATGTAGCCTACAGCAGAGAAATACAACTGAATCGAATACCTTAACTGTTCGATTCTGCTGCATATAAAGTCCGGAATATAACTTGGAATCACAAAGTGAAAGAGTAATACAAATTTAAAAAAAACAAGCGATTATTTTACTATACCGTTTTCATACGTTCGCTTTCCATTCTGACGAAATGTCATAAATGAACTTTCCCCGCTTTATATAGGCATTTATTGTGCCAGTTTTTTTTCTTCTAAATTTGCCAAACAAATTTAAAGTATTTTTTTGCCAAATGCAGTCATATTATAATCTACATTCTTTCATTTACCCAAGGTTTTTTTTTTAAAACTGGTGTTCTCGAAATGAGTTTTGAAAGGAAAAAAAAGCCACATTAATTTTCCTTTCTCTCTGGTAATTTATTTCCAGCAGATCTAGAACATCTTTCAAAGACAGTTATTTCGCACTTTCACTATTTTTAAAAACCAATTTGCTTAAATTACTTTTCATCTGGGCATACTCTCCATTCAATAATGCCTCGAACAGCTCTGTAAATGCTCACATGCCCTCTCAGCTGGATGAAATCGGCTCTGGTTTTGCCGATCCAATAAGATGGAACCGTATATAAGCTGTTGGGTATGTAATCGAATGTTGGTGTTGTCACAGAGCAGTGGCGTCGCTAGGTTGGGTGTCACACGGTGCGGGACTTTATGGTGACACCCCCGACAAGTAACAATATATATATATATATATATATATATATATATATATATATATATATATATATATATATATATATATATATATATATATATATATATATATATATATATATTTATATATATACATATACCTATAACTATATATATAATTATATACATGTGTGTGTGTGTGTACGTGTCGGCCAGTAACCAGAAAGTTGCTCAACGGAAAAAGCGCAGTGGAAATAAGCACACACAAAAATTGCGCAACGGAAAAAAGCGAAAACAGAAAAAGAGTAAACAGTAATTTGCGTACACAGAAAAATGTGCAACCAGAAAAAAATCGTATTGTGACTACGCGTTTAACACCATCTTACTGTGACTAATTGATTTCTCACCATCCTACTGTGACTAATTGTTTTCTCACCATCCTACTGTGACTAAATGTTTCTCACCATCCTACTGTGGCTTATTGTTTTCTCACAATCCTATTGTGAATAATTGTTTTCTCAACAACCTACTGTGACTAATTTTTTTTTCAACAACACGTAATATCAATCATTTCTTAATACAAATAAGACTAAAAATAAAAATATAAAAAACCTCATCAAATTTTCTTTTAAGATCCTAATTGTCAAGTGCATCGATTAGCCAACGCAAAGCATACGTGTTTTGTTTTCATTGTAAATATAGTAAAGTTCATCTGATTCATTGACTCAGGGACGTTCCAGTGATTCGGACCTGGATTCGAACTCGAGACTCACGGTTAGCAGTCTAGCTCTCTACCGCTAGACCACGCCGTCCCCGAGGGTAAATTAATTAAATTGTACGGACTTCGATGTTAAATACAACATGTGGGTCCGATTCAGTGGAGCGTCTCTGAGTCAATGAATTAGATGAACTTTACTATATTTACAGTGAAAACAAAACACACAAACAAGCAATAAACAGATTAAGTGCAAACTAGGCCTATAATTAATTTTTTTAAATATTCAGTAATTTTAATTTACGGAAAAAATGAAATAATACACAGTATAAATAAATATACATTCTATTGTGTTCATAGATGTCCTCGTGGATCGGCAATTGTCCTGTGCCAGCAAATATAAAGGTAAGTTTTGTTAGAACGTTTTTTTGGTAGAGATAAAGTGTTACAGCCTGTGTATTGATACTAGGTCTTATACAAAGTCTGAAATCTATGTAAAAGTTTTTTTTTTAAATCAATACCTAACACTTTTTAAAATCATTTGTCTGGTAGTTTCTTTAGAAATAGTCTGGAATCTGAAATTTAAAATATTCAAACTGTTTGCGTCACAACAGTAATATGCTGTGTAAAAAAGCAACAGTAGTTTCCCCCTGTTCACCAACCATATTGAGCAGCACGCATGATGACATGTTGTGATTCCTGTTAAGGACACGTCCTTGGGGGGTGGAACCAGCATAATCTGTTTATTTAGCCTGGGTCTATACTGGGCGACTCGTCTACATCCCAACCATGTCAGGAGTGGGTGTTGTGTAAAGTTGTATTACTTCTCTAATGGTAGCCTTATTTTAAACTCGTGTTCTAAGTGATTGCACTTTATGAGAGCAGTCTAAGCCAACCTAAACAGTTATTGTCACTTGTATGACAGTAGGACTTCACATCCCAAATAGGTATTGCCACTTGTATGACAGTAGGACTACACATTCCAAATAGGTATTGCCACTTGTATGACAGTAGGCCTACACATCCTAAATAGGTATAACCTCTTGTATGACAGTAGGGCTACACATCCTAAATAGGTATAAACTCCTGTATGACAGTAGGGCTACACATCCTAAATAGGTATTGCCACTTGCAGCACGTCTTTACGACCTGACTATACTCATTGCAGTCCTTGCTTAAAATAATAATGAAAGCACCCACACACCAAGGGACGGAGTGGTCTAGCGCTAGGGAGCTAGACTGCTAACCCGAAATCTCGAGTCCGAATCTGGGTTCAAGTCAGTAGACCGTCTCTGAGTCAGTGGCGTAGCGAGGTCGGGTGTCACCCGGTGCGGTACATAATGGTGTCACCCCTCCCCCCTCCGTAAAATATATATATATATATATATATATATATATATATATATATATATATATATATATATATATATATATACATATACACACACTATATATATATATATATATAGCGTCGAATTCACAAATGATGAATTACTGAAAAATATGAATTAAACTAAACGAGCCGGCCCGCGTTTAAAATCGTTGGCTCTGCTTGTAAACATTTAGAGTGAACACAGCTCACTAAAACCATGTAGGGGTGGGGAGGTAGGGAGAGCGTTTGCAGCTTGTTTTCTAACGGCTCGAAGAAGAGAATTATATATATAGATAGCGGCGTATGTTACGTTGCGGGTCTGCTCGTTGCTTTTTAATTTACATAGTACAAAACTATTTAAATGAGCTTTATGGGCGCACCTATTTTAAAGAAGGGCAGAAAGTCATGGAAGTAGTCTCAACGTTCGCTTATCTTTCAAACTTGTCCCAAGCCCTAATGGCAACCCCCATCAATTCAGTCCTTGTCCCAAGCCCTAATGGCAACCACCATCAATTCAGTCCTTGTCCCAAGCCTTAACTTTCTCAGTACAATGTTTTGTTTTCTAATCAAAATGTCGCTGATCTTTTGTTGTAGTGACCTGCCAGCTGGTCCTACTTTAAGTAATTGTTTTCTCACCATCCTACTGTGACTAATTGTTTTCTCACCATCCTACTGTGACTAATTGTTTTCTCACCATCCTACTGTGGCTTATTGTTTTCTCACCATCCTACTGTGACTAATTGTTTTCTCACCATCCTACTGTGACTTATTGTTTTCTCACCATCCTACTGTGACTTATTGTTTTCTTACCATCCTACTGTGACTTATTGTTTTCTTACCATCCTATTGTGACTAATTGTTTTCTCACCATATAACTGTGACTAATTGTTTTCTCACCATATAACTGTGACTAATTGTTTTCTCACCATCCTACTGTGACTAATTGATTTCTCACCATCCTACTATGACTTATTGTTTTCTCACCATCCTATTGTGACTAATTGTTTTCTTACCATCCTACTGTGACTTATTGTTTTCTTACCATCCTATTGTGACTAATTGTTTTCTCACCATATAACTGTGACTAATTGTTTTCTCACCATATAACTGTGACTAATTGTTTTCTCACCATCCTATTGTGACTAATTTTTTTCTTTCAACAACACGTAAAATATCAATCGGGCTTCCATTGCTGGAAGAAAGTTATTTGTTTTTTCTCATAAAAGACTGACACCGATTAACTCAAGCGGCAAACCCTTACTAAAAGTGGCAAATTATTCATTGATAAGGAAGAAAGTTCCAGTCTGCTTCGCGTCTAGGCACCGAAAAGAATGTGTAACGAAAACAAGAGCAGAAGAAAACCATGGATACTTTGTTGACCTCTGCATATTAAAGGTAGTGTGGTCAGCACTGTGCCAAGCCGCAGTTACTTTACAGGGATTCGAACTCGAGACCTTCGTGATAACAGTAAATCGCTCCACCGCTAAGCCACGATCCCATATATATATATATATTAATTGTTAATAGAAGAACGAGCTGACCCGCGACGTAGCATAAGTCGCTATCTAGTGGTTTTATAGAGAAAGGTATAAAACATAACCCTAGTTCTTATCAACAATGGTAATTTATTCGTAGTTCTGTAATTGTTTTATTTTTACCGGAGGTTTTGAGGGGTTTTATTTCCAAAAAGTTCTAGGGTGGAGCGATGCGGCTAACTTTCCGGTTGACGACCGATTTTTCAAGCCGGTTACGATCTATAAGGACCCGTTCCGGCAAGGCAACAACCAGCTGGTGTTGTGTGGCAGTCCGCACGTAAGTAGGGGGTCAGCCACACACACACACACACGCCCACACAGACACAAACATACATTTTAGTAAATGAATGTCAGACTGCACGTAAGTAGAGGGGGTTGATAGGTGTCAGACACACCCACCCACACATCCACAGAGCCACCCAACAACAGAGACACCCAATGAGACTTCAACTAATGACTGTGTCAGTCTCACACACACACATACACACACATACACATACACACACAAACAGACATACACAAAAACACACCAACAAATTCAGCTGATGGATGTACGCCACCTAGCCAGACAACCACACGGCCATACAGCACCACAGTTACACAGACACACAACCAAACTGCCACGCAGCAAAACAATCACACAAACATATAAACTCAGCCAAAAGTGACAAAAAAGCCACACAGACATACAAACTCAGCCAACACGAAAATTTAGCCACACAGACAAACAAAATCAACCAAAAAAGACATTTAGCTGTACAGACATACAAACTCAGCCAGAATTTAAGTAATCATGAAGTTACAAACACATACAAACTCAGCCAACATAGACATATAGCTACACAAACATTTAAACTCAGCAAAAAAAAAAAAAATATTGGCCTTAACAAACATACAAACTCAGCCAAAAAAAATATTGGCCTTAACAAACATTCAAACTCAGCCAATAAAACATAAAACTACACAAACATACAAACTCAGCAAAAAAAAATCATAAAGCCACACAAACATACAACCTCAGCAAAATGAGACATATAGCCACACATATTTAAAAAAAAAAACGCACAGACACACAGAATCGAAGCACACAGCAGCTAACGGTTTAAGCATAAGCCAAGCCTATTCACGCAATATTTTATACATCTAAATGTTTATACAGGCATCATATCGACATAATTCACCATTATTACAACCCCAGAACTAACAACATCGCTTCTGAAACATTCTACTTCGAAGATGTTGTCAGTTAATTGCTTGGTAATTGGCACATTTACGAAACGATCTTTTTTTTCTAAACAGATAAATCATCATTGTACAATTAAGAATTAAATTATTTTTGCTCCGTAGTTCATGGGACGGCGTGGCTTATCGGTGAAGCGCTAGTCAGCTCACTCGAAAGTCTCGAGTTCGAATCCCTGTAGAGCAAATGTGGCTGGGGACAAAGAAACGTGTGAAATCTCTCTGACTGGGGATTCGTTGACATTTTGTTACCTGTCCTTTTTGGTGCCTAGACGCGGATCAGACGAGGACTTTCTTCCTTATAAATACGTATTTTACCACTTTTTGTTAGGTCTTGAGTTAATCAGTGTCAGTCTTTTATGAAAGAAAACAAATGACTTTCTGCCAGCATTGGAAAACCCAATTAGTTTTTTACGTGTTGTTGCAAAAAATGTATTACAAGCTAACTTAATTTGTGGTCTCTTTATTTGAGATATCTCTATTTGTGGTAACTTTGTTTGAATTACCTCTACGAGCCGACCCGCGGCGTATCATACGCCGCTATTTAGTTGTTTTATTTTCTACTTTTCAGTAATTCATAATTTGTACCAATGCTGCCACTGAAAATATTTGCTTTAAAACACTACCCCCCCCCCTTTCCCCTAACCCCGACCCTACACCCCCCCCCCCCCCCGGGAAAGCAGCCTCCTATTAATTACCTCCTGTAAGTTTAAAATCGTTTCAAACTAAATAATCTGCCCCTAATAGCCGTCACCAAACCCGTCTCTGTGATTGTAAAATGTAAACAGAGTGAACACCGCTCACCAGATCATGTGGGGGTGGAGTGGGGGTGGTAGTGATAGAGAGGAAGAGAGGGGACTGCAAAGGCGCGCTTGCAGCTTGTTTTCTAACTGATCCCAGAAGAGAATTATATATATACGAGCCGACCCGCTGCGTATCATACGCCGCTATTTAGTTTTTTTTCTACTTTTCAGTAATTTATAATTTGTGAATTAGACAGTACCAATGCCGCCACTGAAAATATTTGCTTAAAAACACTAACCCCCCCCCCCCCCCCCCCCCCGTGAAGCAGCCTCCTCTTAGTTACCTCCTCTAAGTTTAAAATCGTTTCAAACTAAATTATCTGCCCCTAATAGCCGTCACCAAACCCGTATCTATTATTGTAAAATGTAAAGAGCGTGAACCACAGCTCACCAGGCCATGTGAGGGGGTGGGGGGTGGTAGTGATAGAAAGGAAGAGAGGGGACTGTAAGGCGCGCTTGCAGCTTGTTTTCTAAAGGCTCCCAGAAGAGAATTATATATATAGATAGATTTGTAGTACCCTTATTTAAGCTACCTCTATTATTGGCATTTCTATGGTATCGTTTATTAGCGAACCAATGTCAACGTATGACTAGGTCTGTCTCTGGCAACCACCAGCTATTCAGTCCTTGTCCCAAGCCCTAATGTGATTAATGGTTTTCTCACCATCCTACTGTTACTAATTGTTTTCTTACCCATCATATTGTAAGTAATTGTTTTTTAACGATTCTACTATTTTTGAACATAAAGTTCGTGGGACGTCGTGGCTTAGCGGCGGAGCACCAGACTGTTAACTCGAAGGTCTCGAGTTCGAATCCCTGAACTAAATGCGGCTCAGCACAGTGCTGACCACACTGTCCCCTGTGCTGACCACACTGTCCCGTCATATGCCGAGGTCTCAAAATTTGGCTGGCGGTTAACTGTGTTTGTTTTTGTTACACATTCTGTTCGGTGTTTTGACGCGGAGCAGACAATGACTTTCTTATCAAAGCGTAAATTGACACTTTTTCTTAAGTCTTGAGTAAATCGGTGTCAGTCTTTTATGAGAGAAAACAAATGACTTTCTGCCAGCATTGGAAACCCAATTAATTGCCTTACTTTCTCGTATACAGAGTCTAGAGGAAGTATTGTAATCATGCACACAAATCAAACTTACTTTTTACCGTTTTCACCGTTTTACTCATCAGTATTTCATCAGATACGGAGTAAAGGTAACTTATTTTAATCGGGCAAAAATTATAAAACCAGTTTTATCAAAATTTTGGCGTTTTAAGTGTATTCGAGTCGCAAAAACTGGGTTTTGCAATTCAGTTTGTAGGTCTGTGCAGGGGCGTAGCGAGGGGGGTGCGGGGGGTGCGGACCGCACCGGGTGACACCATTTAGGGGGGGGGGGTGACACCAAGGCAAAAAATAGCAAAATATATAGAGGAAAATGATAATTCCACTTAATAGAGTGATTAATTAGAGTGTTAAATAGCCTTTTAAGAGGTGGGGGGTGCAAATCAAAAGTTTGAGGGGGGGGGGGTGCAAATCGAAAGTTTGAGGGGGGTGTAAATCGAAAATTGAAAGTTTGTCCCCGGGAAGGGTCGTTGCTCCTGTGGGGGGGGGGGGTGACACCATTAAGTGCCGCACCGGGTGACACCCGACCTCGCTACGCCACTGGGTCTGTGTGTGTGTATGTGTGTCTGTGAACACGAAACCTTGAGTACCATTAAGACTAGATGAAATGTCAAATGTAAGTATAATATCAAATGTGTAGTTTTGTATCACCTTTTCAGTGTGACTAATTGTTTTCTCACCATCCTACTGTGACTAATAGTTTTTCACCATCCTACTGTAATTAATAGTTTTCTTACAATCCTACTGTAATTAATAGTTTTTTCACCATCCTAGTGTAACTAATTGTTATCTGACCATCCTACTGTAATTAATAGTTTTCTCACCATCCTACTGTAACTAATTGTTTTCTTACCATCCTGCTGTGACTGATAGTTGTCTCACCATCCTAGTGTAACTAATTGTTTTCTTACCATCATATTGTGACTAATAATTGTTTTTTAAGGATCGTACCATTTTTGGACATTAAGTTCGTGGGACGTCGTGGCTTAGCGGTCGAGCGCCAGACTGTAAACTCGAAGGTCTCGAGTTCGAATCCCCGTTAACTAAATGCAGCTGGGCACAGTGCTGACCACACTATCCCTTTATATGCCAAGGGCAAGAAACAAATGAATTCAACTTCTGTTTAAACTCGCAAAATTTCGTTCTGGACTTTTAATGCTTGTTCCTGTGGAATACGGTTTGTTTTTGTTACATATTCTTTTTGGTGTGTAGACGCTGAGCAGACAATGACTTTCTTATCACAACGTAAAATGACACTTTTTGTTAAGTCTTGAGTTAATCGGCGTCAATCTTTTATGAGAGAAAACATACGACTTAGTTCCAGCATTGGAATCCCATTTTTTTTTAAATTTCTCGTATACAGAGTCTAGAGCAGGGGAAAGTAGAAAACAACACGAGTTATTCCATAGGAACTCTCTAAAAGATAAAGTATAAGAAACATAAAAACCTGGGTTACATTCCCAGCACTTTGATGACAAATGGCGGCGAAATTAATGTTTATTGTTAAGTATTAAGTAAGTAGGCCTACTAGATCTTTGAAGTACTAGATTCTAGATCTAAGTATCATAAGTTAATCCAGATCTGCAATGGCACCTTGGACTAAAGAAGTTGGTCCATTAGGCAAGTCTCAGAAAGAAGTCGATCTCTTAAAGAAAAAGGTAGGCTCTCTCGGTAATCTATCGTTTTGGGTACGTAAAATCGCCCGCGGCTATTTATGTACGAAAACGTTACCTCATTGTCAAGGCTTTAATAGAAGTATATTGTCATACTTTTGTGTCAAATATTATAGATAAATGAATAATAAACCTAAATCAATGGCTAAATATATCGATATAGGCCAGAAATTAACTTTAAACAGCAGTGTCTGAGAGCAAGATTTGCTATATAAACAGCAGCTATTTGTAAAATAGAGTGACTTCCCCCTGAATCTGGCGCTAAAAGCTTATAAAAATAAAACTTAGACAAGATGGCTGCTATAGTAAATGAGCATGATTGCATCTGTTGGAAACATCGCTAGTCTTCATTTATTACGGAAAAGTTTTAATTCAATTGTTAAAAAAACAGGTACATAAATGAATCAAGTAAACATTTTTGAATTTTTTAAACATAAATCCTCCACAAAATGTAAAATAATTATTAAAATTGAAGGAGTCACCTGTTTTTCACATTACAAATCGCGGGCGATTTTACGTACCCAAAACGATAGATTACCGCTCTCTCTAACTAATAGTTTTTCTTACTAAATCTAGAATTTACTCAAATTTCAAATTAAACATGACTACTGAATGATAGACATCCATATTTAATCCATTAGGCACTAATTTTGAAGTTTTTAGTTCATTTTAAACTAAATTACTTAATTTAATATTTATTGACACTCACTGCCATGGCCAACACACCTCTCCATGACAACTCTACTTAAGCTTGAACGTAAAGAAAACCACAAATATGTTAGACTTTTTAAGTGGCCATGTACTCAGAGTTCCCCACTAGTGATCATCAAATAGCGGTCACGTGGTTTAAAAAAATAAATAAATTTGGTTGTCATTCAAAAGTCGTGTCTTATTTTAAAAAGTGCATGCAATATTTGATTTATTTCTTCATATAATGATAAAACTAATAATTCTACAACCTCCAATTCATTTTTGTGACCTCCGGGCTGATATTTTAGAAGTTCTATTAATTTGAATGAGACCGACTTTTGAATTTAGCCTCCGTTCTCCAAACCAAATTTTAAAATGCTTTTCTGGCATATCTAACCCTGCCACTTATGGTTTGTTGTTATGACACGGAAATCCCGCCATTTTGCGCGTGGTAAACATTTTTAAATGTAATTAGTTGAAGGTCTCTGGAATTTGGCCGTAAAATCGCCGGAAATCAAACGTCCGGTCCGGGCGCCATATTGTTGTTAGCAACCGACCACGCCTCCAAGTTAGCGAGAAATACTACTAACTAAATCTCTATCGAGTATCGTTTTGGGTACGTAAAATCGCCCGCGGCTAAATCTAGATCTAGTAATGTTAAAAACAGGTGACTCCTTAAATTTTAATAATTAATTCACATTTTGAGGAGGATTTATGTTTTTTAAAATACAAAAATGTTTCGAAGTGACTACGCGTCTCGCAAAGCGTGGCCCCTGCCCTAAAGAATATACTACGCGTCTCGCAGGTTTGATTTGCCATTTTGTAATGGAAAATGCTTACTTTTGAAATCTCTATCACATCCGCTGTGGTAGAGTCAACAGCGTGCCAGCTGTAGGCTGAAGTTCATAGACTCGGAGTTCAGAGTTCGAACCCGGGGTTAACTCCGCCGGTCCTTTTTTTTTTTTAAATTTTTTTTTTTCATTGAAAATATGACATAGACTATGATTCTTTTTTTTTTTTAAATAAAATTTCCAAACATCGTCACTGTCGTGATTGCTTGCCTTATGTTTACTATCCCGTAAGTGGAAAATCCCACCACGGCCCACGGTCGGCGAGGTTACGGTGAGTTCAGCAGCCCTAAAGCATGCGTCATAGACGTTCACACGAGATCGTCTGTCTTCACTTCTCTCTTCCTCCCACCCCCTTCCCCCTCAAGCAAATTGATTGTTTTTTTAAGTTCACGTAGGATAAATAATATAGACTTAGACTTTAGATCTACTATCACGCATGCTAGATAGCTAGGCCTAAAGGTTAAAGGAAAGTTTGATTTAGCTAGGTTGCTGCTAGATCTAGGACTATCATCTGACCTCACAAACTTTCCTTGACACTACACTGTACTGTTTTTTTTTACAAGTACTAGACTCTTAGGTGTTGAAATAATAAAGAGATCTAAATACACTTAAACTCGATCTAGATCTATGTCAACATTAAATTGTTACCATGAAAAAAAAATCGGGCAGTCCTGATATCTGTTTTTTTTAGATCGCGTGCCACCTAGGGTAAAGATTAAGCGTAATGCGGAGCGAACTGCGCAAAGGCGGCCTTACGCGTACCGCGAGGCGAACCGTTTCATTGTTTCATTTATCTTTATGTACCTGTTTTTAAACAATTGAATTAAAACTTTTCCGTAATACATGTGATGATGACTAGCAATGTTTCCAACAGATGCAACCATGCTCATTTACTATAGCAGCCATCTTGTTTAAGTTTTATTTTTATAAGCTTATAGCGTGAGATTCAGGGGGAAGCCACTCTATTTTACAAATGGCTGCTGTTTATATAGCAAATCTTGCTCTCAGACACTGCTGTTTAAAGTTAATTTCTGGCCTATATTGATATATTTACCCATTGATTTTGGTTTATTATTCATTTATCTATAATATTTGACGCAAATATATCACGATATACTTCTATTAAAGCCTTGACAATGAGTTAACTTTTTTGTACATTACTAGCCGCGGGCAAATTTACATACCTAAAACGATAATTACCGCTATGTCATATGCCATATTTTATTAATTTTAATGAAGTGACTACCCGGAAAAAGATTTTTCGCCCTAGCGTCTCCACCTGGTTGGTAAAAGATAGTTCTGCGCATGCGCAGTGACCTATGGCTGGGGTTGGTAAAACTCCATTTTAGCGTATTTTATTTGCCGCTTTACGTTCAATTCTGGTTAAGCGTATTTTATTATAAACAAAACCGAAACACACAAAAACGTTAGGAAAACACTAGGATTAGAGCTGGATCTATTTATTTTTTATATGAATGTGAGTTATTATTAGAAAAGGTAAAAACAAAACATAACAAAGCATTAGGACAGTTCAATTAAATAGCATGTGATTGTCAGCGGGAGAAAAATCTCTACATGGTCAAGGGTTACCAAAAAAAACTGAAACAAGATGGCTGCTGAAGTAAATGAGCTTGTTTGCATCTGACGAAAACATCGCTAGTCTATATTTTTGATTTTCTTACTAAATCTAAAATTTACCCAATTTTCAATTTAAACATGACCACTGAATGATAGACATCCATATTTAATCCATTAGGCACTAATTTTGAAGTTTTTAGTTCGTTTTAAACTAAATTACTTAATTTAATATTTATTGTCACTCACTGCCATGCACGACACACCTCTCCATGACAACCACTCTTACGTATGAAGCTAAAGAAAACCACAAATCCGGTTAGACTTTTTAAGTGGCCATGCACCCAGAGTTCCTCACTAGTGGACACCAAATAGCTGTCACTTGATGCAAAAAAAAAATTTGGTTGTCATTCAGAAGTTGTGTCTTATTTTAAAAAGTGCCTGCAATATTTGAATTATTTTTTTATAGAGTGATAACCCTAATAGCTCTACAACCTCCATTTCATTTTTGTACTCTCCAGGCTGATATTTGAAAAGTTCTATTAATTTTAATGACACCGACTTTTAAATTTAGCCTTCGTTCGCCAAAGCAAATTTTAAAATGCTGTTCTGGCATATATAGCCCTGCCACCTATAGCATGTTTTTATAACATGAAAACCCGCTATTTTGCTCGTGGTAAACATTTTTAAAAGTAATTCTAAGAATGTCTCTGGAACTAAGACAAAAAATCGTTGGAAGTCATGCATCCGGTCCGTATGACATATTGTTGTTAGCAACCAGCCGCGACTCCGATGTAGCGAGCAATACTACATATTTATTACTGAAAAGCTTAAATACAATTGTTTAAAAACAGTTACAATAAACTGGGAGTGATCTCCACTAAACTTTCTCGAATATTTTTATATAAAATAACAGGGGATGGGAACTCGGGCTATAGACATGATTTTTAATCCATTTTAAATACTTAAAGTTTTAAAAATAGAATAAAATCTCGTAGACAAATTAATTGCACACCAAGTGAATGCGAAATAAAAAAGCGCATAATAGTGCGCAATATTATTAGTACTTTTAAAATTTACATTAGTTTTTTGAGAAATCGGAAGTAGCGTAAATTACTACTTCCGGTCAACGGAAATTACTCAAAATTTAACAGAAGGTAGAGAATTAGATCTTTTACTTACATGTGAAATTTCATGTATCTATCTGAAATAGTACTCAAGTTATAGGCTTTTGAAAAATTCAAAGTAGAAAAAGTACCACTTCCGGTTGTCGGAAATCGCTCAAAAGTTGATACGGATCTACGATTTTGATATAATACTTATATATGAAATTTCATCAACCTAGCTGTAACGGTACTCAAGTTATCCTGTTTACACACGGACACACAGACACACACACAGACATACGGACAAGATTGCAAAATTATGTTTTTCCGTATCAGTGAGGTGTAAAACGTTGAGATTTGTAAAAATCTCGATTTTTTTTTTTTGCATGATTGCAATACTTTCTCTATACTACGTATATACGAGAAAGTAAAAATGAAACTTTGAAACATTTTTGTATTTTTCTAAACATAAATCCTCATAAAAATGTGAAATAATTGCCAAAATTTAATGAGTCACCTTTTTTCACATTACTAGTCTTGGCCGATTTTACTTTTTACTAAAACGATAGATTACCAAAATAATTCATAATAAATAGGCCTGGGCCTATAATTAACATTATAATAAGTTTAATTTTAAGTTTTCGGTATTGCCATGTAGTACAAAGTTCCCCTTTCAAACCTGACGGTCTATGGGGCAAGTGAAGTAGAGTTCACTTGTTTCTATGACCTCGGCATATGAAGAGATAGTGTGGTCAGCACTATGCCCAGCTGCCTTTACTTTCCCTAACGTGAGTTAGGTACCTATCAGGGTTGGGTGGGTTCATGGATGGTCTACTGACTTGAACCCGGATTCGAACTCGAGACTTGCGGGTTAGCAGTCCAGCTCTCTACCACTAGACCACTCCGTCCGTTTTGCCATGGATAAGTAAGTAATCTGCTGTTCTAGGTATGTAAAAATTGGTGAGGCTAGCAAAGTGAAAGAAAGTTGACAATTGATATTCAAGATTGACTTTCATGTCATGTGTGTGTTGTCTCTCCCCCCCCCCCCCCCCCCCCCTGCCAAAACCAAGCAATTTGAAAATGTAGGCCTACTTTGGGTCATTGTAAGTTGGAATAACATTTTAGACCTTTAGTACCACACATGCAAGAGCAGTAAAAATACTTAATTTGCTGTTAAATAACGTTAAAATTACATAATAGAAGAGAATAAATTAATTAGATTTTATTGAACAGTAAAAAAAAAAAAAAATCATCCGACCAAAAAGTACGAAGTATTGTCTTTATTAAATGGACTATATTTTATTCTAATTTTTAAAAATACCTCTTCCTACCTTTGGCCGTAAAATAACACTTTGTAGACATTGAATAATTAAAATGAAATAGTAGGGCATTCCATTTTAGATCACGCTCAGCCTAATGAACAGATTAACAAGAGCGCAATGATCTACGTAAATGCAGCCTTATTTTTACCCAATTACCCATCACACTCACAGCTAAAAATAAAACATGGAAGGAGTAGTAGAATGTACATTTTCATTTTATAAATTGTCTGTTTTTCGCTTAAAGTAAAAGATAACCTACTGATGAGGAGCTCTCCTGTATGATTAGCTCTATGTACTGCTGCCTTTACTTTCCATAACCAAAGTCAGATACCCATCTAAGCTGAGTGGATTCATAGTCAGCCAACAGACTTGAGCTTGTAATCTGAACTCAAACGATCAAGTTAGCAGTCGAGTGCTCTACCATCCATCTATGTCATCCCATCAAATTTTTCATAGATATGTTTATTCCTGTATTTTCATATTGTTCTTGCTCTAATATTTTAATAGGTTGACCTGATTATAAAAGAATCAAACAAAGTCATAAAAACAACGGGTAACAAAAATGAAGACAAAGACAAAAAGTTGGAGGAAATGTATCAAAAGTAAGGTTTTTCAAAAACTAATTTATTATTTTAGACTGTTAAATTATTCATGTTTTAACTCTGTAGCACAAATTAGAAGATTAAACTTTTGAGTGTTTCAAATTTTAAAAATTACAGATGCATCGATGCTAAAAAATCTGTTGAAAATCTTCATAGTGATGTTGAAAAATTAAAAGAGGTAAAAACTGCCAAGCTGTGTTTCAATTAAAGTTTGGTTTATTGCAATTTTATCTATTATTACCTTTAGATAACTTGTGAAAACCTTTAAGCCATCAACCATTAAATGTTCGCAGCATTTACTTACATTTCAACTTGCCTACAAACCTGCACAGCATCAACTAATACATTTGATCAATAATTCATATTCATATAGAATGTATCAGATACATATAAAATATTTGTTTAAAATTATTATATACAACACATATTTGTAAAATGTTTTTATGTGATGCAGCTGTAAAATATCAATATGCATTATTTACTTCAAGGAGGGTGAGCCAACCAAACTAAAAGACTTTGAAAAGAAAAAATTGGCAGAGTTGAATCGACTTGGTGTAATGAAGGTATAGCAATTTCCTATTAAGTCTATAAACATTTAAAAGTAAACATTCTGTAGAACAAAATCTATACTATAGCTTTATGTATTTAAAAAAGTAAAGTTTTTGTTTCAATTCAGACTCAACTAGGCGAAACTATGTCTAAGATTCTTCCCAACACAAATGAAGCACAGTTTTTAAAGTTAGTATATTTTGAAATACCTTTAAAAAATTCAGTATATCTTATTTTCTGCTGTTAAGTTGTGTTTATTAAATTGTATTTTTTTCGGTAGCTTTCCAGTATTTGTAATTTGCAGAATTTAAAGTTTTTAAATTGAAAAATATATATATATTCTTTTATTTTTATTAATCATTCATAGAAGTCATCTGACCAAAGAGGAAAAAGAGAAAGAAGAAGAGGGTATGAATTATAAATTGTTTTTCTAAAAAGCCATTCAAAATTTAATTTAACTTATATTATTTATACTGGCCTATATTTAAATTGGATAAATAATTCTTCCATTTTCACTAATGGCCTTATGGGATTTAGCTCTATTTTTACCATCACTTTACAACAGCTGAGCTGATAGCACTGAACTCATACCAAGAAAAAGCATACCTTAATTTTTGGAATATTTGTTATGTATATTTTTATTATTATGTTGATAGATGAAGATGAAGATGGTGAAGAAGAGGAAGAAGTTGATGAAGAAGAGGATGAATCTGAGGAAGAGGATGATGGAGATGAAGAAGAAGAAGAAGAAACAACCTCCCCTGCTGGTGCTAAGCAAATAAAACCAGCGTGAGTTTCAATTTTTTTTTACCGGCTTCCCTTCTGGATCTTATTTGTTTACTTAACACCTGAAGCAATTCATGGACTTTATGTTGAAATTAATTATTTTGATACACTCGAGGATTGTAATATACCAATTAGAACTATATATTGGATGGTTTCTCCTAACGTATAACCTTTTTAAATAAGTGACATTTATTTGTTTATGCATGTTTTAATTCATGTTTTTAGACATCATGTCATAAAAAAACAGTTGGTTGAGGAAGAAGCTGCTACTGATGATGAGGATGAAGATGACGATGAAGATGATGATTATGTTGATGAAGAAGAGGAGGAAAAGTTGAAAATTTCACCACAAGCTAAGCATGGGTAACAAAGCCTCTGCTTCAGTTTTGTTATTTTAAACCTCTTTCAAGAACAACAAATATGTCTTAGAAAAATAAGTATGACCTTAGTTTAACTGTCGTTGTTTGAAATAAATTTATGTGGCAGTAAGTATGAACTCAGAAATAAAGACGTGTCTTTTACAATAGTATTAATATATTTTAGTTAAAAAAAATTTGTCAGTTAACTTAACATTCTAATATCCATTCCAATAATTTATTGCTGTTCCTATTGAAGTATTTGCATTTTTTAACCATTTCTGATGTAAATATTTTTTAAAAAAATATTTATTTTTATATTTTTATACATAACCTCGATGATCTTTAATGGTATTGATTAAATGAGAGTGATCAATATAAATATGCTAAAGAATTAAACCTTCATTTTGTAGTTGTATAAGTACATTTCCATTATTAGAAGTTAGTCAGTCTGAAATACAAAAACATACTTATTTTATATCAATACTAGATTTATTAAAATAAAATTATAGTCACAAATTTTAAATGAAAAAAAACTTCTATATTTGGAAAGGGTATTTTAAAATTACAGCCTTTTTGGTTGATCCCATTTATTCTTGAATTGATTTATTTCTATGTAAAATACAATTTTGTATAAATGTTAATGAACAGCAAAAAAACTGAAGCAGTAAAAGAAGAAGAGGAAGATGATGATGAAGATGATGATGATGATGATGATGATGATGATGATGATGATGATGAAGAGAGTGAAGAAGAAAATAAAAAAGATGCAAGATCAGTAGAAAAAGACAAGTCGAAACAATCAGAAAAGAAAGGGAAGCAAAAAGAAGTGGGTCATGATAAAAATGCTAATCACCCGGTGAGGTTAAAACAAATGTTGTAAAATAAAAGATACTTCACCTACCCTGTTAGCAATTTGGTTTTATAATCCACCTTCTACAGTTTTAACAAATTTCAAAATGTCTTTAAACATTGAATTTTATTATGATAAAACACATCGTTGTAACAACTTATTTTATTTTAAAACATTAATCATAACTATAATTTTTTTAAAAATTTCTTTACTTTTTGTAAAAAAAAAAAATTTGCTATCAAACAATGTTCTACTTCTATAGTATTGACAGTTGAATACTATTAGGTATTTAGTCATGCCAGAGTGTAATATGTTAAAATTATCTTCTGATCAGGTCATACAGTTTATCACAATTGATGATTATGAAGGAGAGGAAGATGGAGATTTGGATTTCAAAACTGGAGAAATATTGACAGTGGTAGATGCTAGGTACAGTATACTAAATTCATTTTTTGATTCTTTCCTTGTTGTTTTGTTTTTATGTTGTCAGTTGCTGCAGAAATACTTGGTTTATTTTTTTTTTAATGTTGTCTCGTCTAGCCCTTTGTTTTTGGGTTTCAATGTTAGTTTTATCACTTAGTTTATGACTTGTTACTTTCGACCATGTTTGTTGTGTCACTTCCTTTAGAGTCTCATTGATCTTGCATTAAACCATTGCATTATCTGATGATATAAATTATCTTTTATGTTTCACTTTTAGTCGAGATGATGGGTGGTGGCTTGCTAAAAATCAGACAGGAAAGACAGGCTTAGTGCCGTCCACTTATCTGAAGGTAGTTTATAAAATCTAAGCAAACTATTTTATGTACTGTAAATACATTTTGTATCTAAGAAAAAAATACATGCTTTGCTACTGCTTAAACTGAACTGGTCTGAGTATTTATTAAGAATTCTTTTACATTTTATGAACACCTTTTGGGAAAAAGATAACATTTGAAATTTGTTTTCTTTTATGCTGTGTGCTGCTTGCCAATAAGTTAATGAAACAATACTATTTTTTAGGAGCATAGAAGTCATGATGATGATGATGATGAAAATGATGACGATGAAGGTAAGTTTTTCTATAACTGATTCATAATGGAGCTGAAGATTTATTTTGTTAGATTATTTTTTTGGTGTTATGAATAATTTTTGTATCACTAGAAGAATCTGAAGAAGAGGAAGGGATGGATCAAACAGATCAGACAACACCATCTAAGAGAAGGTAAAAACAGTCTCATAGCTGAACAATACTTTTTTATCAGCATATTAGTTTCTGTTGTGTAATGCATTATTTTGTTGTTTCTTTTTTACTTTCTCGTGTATACGAAGTATAGAGAAAGTATTGTAATCATGCAAAAAAAAATAATCGAGATTTTAACAAATCTCGACGTTTTACACCTCACTGATACGGAAAAAGATAATTTTGCAATCTTGTCCGTATGTGTGTGTGTGTGTCTGTGTGTGTGTAAACTCGACAACTTGAGTACCGTTACAGCTAGGTTGATGAAATTTCTTATATAAGTATTTTATCAAAATCGTAGATCTGTATCAACTTTTGAGCGATTTCCTATAACCAGAAGTGGTACTTTTTCTACTTTGAATTTTTCAAAAGCCTATAGCTTGAGTACTATTTCAGATAGATAAATGAAATTTCACATGTAAGTAAAATATCTAATTCTCTACCTTCTGTCAACTTTTGAGTAAATTCCGTTGACTGGAAGTACTAATTTACGCTATTTCCGATTTCTCAAAAAACGCATGTAAATTTATAAAATACTCATAATATTGCGCACTATTATGCACATTTTATTAGGCATTCACTTGGTGTGCAATTTTTTTTTTTACAAGATTCCATTCTATTATAAAAAGTAAGTAATTAAAAATGGATTACAAATATTGTCTATGTCCTGAGTTGCCATCCCTCGTAGTTTTATTTTAGAATATTCGAGAAAGTTTAGGGGAGATCACTCCCGGTTTATTTAATTAAGAAATAAAAAATATTAAAATGTTTGTTCAGTTATACAATAAGACAAATGATATTTCAATCAGATAAGTAAATTAATTTATTTAAAAAAAACTCAGAAAAACCAATTAAGCTGTTAGGTTTAAGTTATTTCAATTTTTGAAAAATTGTAACTGTTTTTTCTGATGAAGCCCTAACACTGAAACTTTGTTTCTTGAGTTTTCTGTTTTCTACATCAGTTTTTTAGTTATATTTCTATTTCAGTGGTAAAAAGCTATGGCAAGGTGTCAAGAAAGCTTTAGCAGAGGTAAACATTTATTTTTTCTTTTAAGACTAGTGTGATGAACTTCCTATCAGAGAGAAGTTTTAAAATGTTACAAAAAGTAGGTTTACATTGTTGTGTGTGTGTGTGCCTCAATAATACAATATTTGATCTCAGACAACAGTTTCAGACGTCTTACATGCAATGGGTGCTGTGCCTTCTGGCTTTAGACCTTCAACGCTATGTAGAAAGTTTAATGAAGGTAATGATTGATACACCTAAACTGTTTTCATGGAGGTAACTTAATTTAGTCCATTAAATGCATAATTTACGATCTTTGGATTTTTATTTTTATTTTTTTATTTTTAGTAATTCATAAATATTTATACCAATACTGTAATTCTGACCAAAGAAAGCCCTAAAGTAATACATGATTTGATCTAAACCTATAGGTGACACATACAGATTTGCTAATTACCTGATGCCAAAACTCAGTCAGTCCAACCTGACCTATAAAGATTTGTTCTTTGATCCAGCCACAAATAAGGTACAAATAATTTATATATTTCCTACTACAATTCTGGAAAATTACGTCTGTGATATGAGTCAAGAATGTAAAACAAGTAGATTAACCCTGTGTTAGTAGCTGTTGTGTTTTACAAAGTGGTCATCGACTACATGCTAACATTGTTTGAGTTATAAGTAAAAAAAATTTTCGCTCCACGCAGATACGCCCAAGGCCCACTAGGATTGAGAGAGTCGTCACGCTGGTCTCATGCCAACAGATCCCTCCCCCAGGTGCAGGTTGGTATCTTTGGAAGTTTTTTGTATAGAAGTTGAAGCTAGCCTAGTTCAGATCATTAGAAGGTTTTTGTATAGAAGTTGAAGCCAGCCTTAAATTCTCTAGTTCAGATCATTAGAAGGTTTTTGTATAGAAGTTAGAGCTAGCCTTAAATTCTCTAGTTCAGATCATTAGAAGGTTTTTGTATAGAAGTTAGAGCTAGCCTTAAATTCTCTAGTTCAGATCGTTAGAAGGTTTTTGTATAGAAGTTAGAGCTAACCCAATATTCTCTAGTTCAGATCATGAGAAGGTTTTTGTATAGAAGTTGAAGCCAGCCTTAAATTCTCTAGTTCAGATCATTAGAAGGTTTTTGTATAGAAGTATAGAAGTTAGAGCTAGCCTTAAATTTTTATTTCAGATCATTAGAAGGTTTTTGTATAGAACTTAGAGCTAGCCTTAAATTCTCTAGTTCAGATCGTTAGAAGGTTTTTGTATAGAAGTTAGAGCTAACCCAATATTCTCTAGTTCAGATCATTAGAAGGTTTTTGTATAGAAGTTAGAGCTAGCCTTAAATTCTCTAGTTCAGATCATTAGAAAGTTTTTGTATAGAAGTTAGAGCTAACCCAATATTCTCTAATTCAGTTGAGTCTGACCACAATATATCCCCCTTTATGCTGAGGTTATTTAAACTACTTTATCTGTATATGATGATTATACTCAGTGAATTATTTTTTATAAGGCAATTGTTAAGGCTAGTAATATGAAAAGAATCAATTTTTAATAATAGTAACTTAATTTTTAAATATAAAGTGTATATTGGATGTAATATTAGCTATGCACTAAAAATTGTAGTGAATAACTGTTATTTAGATAAAGTTGAATTTGAAACTGATGTATATTAGAAGTCATTGCAAAACAGAAACAGGGTGACACTATTCAACTTTTGACACCAAAACAAATATAAGCGCTCTTCAATGATAAAGTCTGTCCTTGTTCAGTTCAACTTATTATATTTATATAGTTTTATACACCCGTTTACTCTATACAAGATGGGATGGCACCCTTAGTTTCCACACCAGGTACTACTCAGACCAGTGAAGCCATTATTGCTCACCATATTGATACAGCTAGAAGATGCTATTGTGTAGTAAGCACATTTTTTTTCCCTGTACTACATAGGTCTTGAAGTTACAGACAGACATGTAAGGATGTGTTTGTTTGATGGGACACATGTAAGTTTCCTGTAATTACAAATTATTGGTATGGATTTATTTCTCTAATAACTTAAAATAATAAACTAAATAATATTTAAAGATATTATCATTTCTTAATTATCGTGTAAAAAGTTTATTCATCAATTTTTAAATTTATAATTCATTAAATTTAAAATTAATTGCTAATTAATTTTTACAACTATGTTTTTTTCTCAGCTTTAAATCTTTATGATTATAATTTTCTTGTATAAGAAAGTTCTCAACACTGTGGAGTTAGTTTTCCCAAGTATACTATGGTTATATTTTTTTATCCTCACAGATTCTCAGCAACATCCATGCTGTGCGTGTATCATCTGTTGATAAGACACAGCGTGTTTGGAGCTTCACGACAAAGGTACAGGAATAGTTCTTCGGCTGGAATATCACTCACTCACTCACCTGCTCACTCACAAACTCACTCACTCACTCACCTGCTCACTCACTCACCTGCTCACTCACTCTCTCACTCACCTGCTCACTCACTCACCTGCTCACTCACAAACTCTCACTCTGGAGCTGGGCCTCAGATTTTTAAATTGTTATATCAGTAAAACTTACCTTTTCGAACCTCATGATTCATGGGGCAAGTGAAGTAGAGTTCACCTGTTTCTGTGACCTCTACATATGAAGGGATAGTGTGGTCAGCACTGTGCCCAACCAGTTTACTTTCCCTAATGTAAGTCTGGCACCCTTCAGAGCTGGGTTGACTCAGAAATTTTGTACTAACTTGAACCCTGATTCAAGCTCGAGACTTTCGGGTTAGCAGTTGAGCATTCTACTGCTAGGCCACCCCATGCTTGTTATATGAATAGGACATTCACATTCATCCATTCTGTTTTAAATGATTAATTTGAATAATAAAAGGGTAAAAATATATGTCGAGTTGATAAAGCAATGTGAACATTTAAAAAAAAAGGTAAACAGAAATTTATTTATTTTAAAATAAAAAAAAACCAAGCTAACTACAGATGAATAAATTGTTATGAACATCAATACAGTGAATCAGTAATGATGATATTATCCAAGGGTTCCAAACATATTTATATTTGACTGAGCTAATTTAATTTTTAAAAATCTTGTTCTTTAAACTTGTCTGACCTTTCAACTTTTCCAGATGTCTGAGCTGATGGACCCCTCTACACATGCTGAAGTTTTTGTCCGCACCAGTAACAACATGGACACTATTGGTTGGTATCTGCAAACACTGAGTTGTATTTTTACTATCAAATTGATCACTCTTTTGTTTTTAAAAATGGTCTTGTGTGACCTGGGCTTGGTCCAGTTAGCTTTTAGATGATACCTGGCAGTAGAAGTGAAAGTAGCTGGTCACACCAATCCATTGTTTGCTAATACTTTAGAAACAGGTGGCCTCTATTTCCTCTGCCTACAAGTTCTTGTAAAATAATTTATAAAAATATTTAAAAATACTTAAAGAAAGAAATTTTTATCTGGCCAGTAAAATTGTTTTATTCCTGTATTCATCAGGTGTTTTGTTTGAGCTTTGCATTTCCTATACCAGAACGGTGAGTTTGATATTTTGTTTTGTGTGTAATCTCTGGTGTATGCCTGTTAGTGTACTCACTCTTTAACTTTTTGTGGACAAAGGTAGCAAATTAACTCGAATAAGAATTCAGTTAATTATTGCAACTATTTGACACAAACTACACCTAAATGCAACTCCCTGTAATCTTATTCTTCAATTTTTTTACAATTATTATAGTAAAAAGTGTTAGAAAAATTAACTGTGTTGTTTATATTAATATTAGTTTTTAATATTATTATTATTATATAAATCATAGTACTAAGCAGTTGTCTAGCTTGTTTAGTCTTATTAAAGCTTTCTTATAGTAACTGAATAGTTGATGAAATGGTGAAACATTTTTTTTTTATTTCACACTGACAAGATTGAAGGAGTGAAGGTATGAAAGCTGTCTGACATTTAGAGTGTAGAAAGCCCCTAATATCTCGTTGAATTCATTAATTTAACAACCTGCAGTGTAGTTGAACCTACTGTGTTATTTTTCACTTCATAATCCAGATAATATTCATAATATTGTTGTTTAATTTGTTAAAGCATCATGACCGCTCAATTACCTTGTTTAAAAGCTAAATCATCATGACAGTTCAATTACCTAAACCTAGCAAATATTTTTAAAAGTTATATCATTGGGGCTGATTTTATTTCCTTCCTTTCAGCAATGCTGATGTTGAATCTAGTCATGATTAGTTCAAAGAGCTTTTATAAATTTTGCAAACCAAATAAACTTACTTAAATATTTTTTCTTAATAAAAAATTTTGTTAAATAATTTAATAAAATATTGATACTTGTTTCTATTTAGCTTTAAGTCCTATTTTAATTGCAAATAAACCATAGTTTACTTAATTAAAAACTGCTGTGGTTTGGTACACTTATCCGCCAATGTTTATGTTGGTTTCATTTACTTTTATAGCCACAGATCTAGGTTTTAGTTATTAACCCTTTGAGCCCGCCAGGCCGGTAAACCGGCTTCAACATTAGGCATATATGTCCGAAAAGCCGGTTTTCCGGCCCGAAGATCTAGCGTCATATTCCTAGCGACCTGTATACCGTCAAATTAAATATAATTAGCGGAAAACTGACTAAAACTGCGCATATGTCTTTTTAGTGCGTGATTATGATTCTAAAAATAGATTTTAGGAAAAGTGAAAGTGTTTACATTTCGTAGCAATGCCGCCGAAACGAAAAGCTGAGCCACAGTCATCGACTTCAGCACATAAATTTGGTGCAAAAGATGAAGCAAAAGACCGAAATATCAACAAAAGAAGTAGAATGACTGCATCAGAGGCAATACAACTACTTATGGATTCTGATGAAGAAGATAATATTCCTGGTCTATATTATGATGATAGTGACGTTGAATTTGAGACTGAACTCAGTGACATTGAAATTGACAGTGACAATGAAACTGTTCAAGTACGATATGATGCACGGGGTGCCAAGGACAAATACTTGCCGAAGCGAAAAAGAAACTGTTTACTGGTGCAAAACATGCAAAGTTTTTCTTTGCATAGGGTCAGGCAGTGATAACTGTTTTGAAAGTTATCACACAAAAGTGGACTTCTGGCGATGAACTAGTATGGCCAGGTATCAATAATAACATAGCAATTACTAAATGTAAATTGGTTTCTTCTATGTTCTATCAAAACAATAATTACGTGTTCGTTTTATATACATTGTTGTGTTCATACATTGTAAACAAAAAAAGAATTTCAGAATCTTTCTGCTTTGATGTTTGATCCTGAGTCTGGATACCAAATTTGGTCTGATTATCTCAAACGGTTCAAAAGTTATAGGCAAAGTTAGAAGCAGATAAGTGAAAATTGGTTTGGCCCTGGGAGTTTAGGAAATGGGAGAAATTATGCCAGGGAGGCAGGGCTCAAAGGGTTAAATTTGTCTTATATTTCTCAGACGAATACTAAATAATAAACAAGCAAGCAACAATTGTGGCCTCAATAAGCACCAAACAAATTTGATTTACATAATTTCATTATTTGACTCACACTGCACATTTTGTAACATAATCACATAACATATTTTTAAAATAGATAACATTTTTAATTGTATGTTTGAAACATTCTTTTTATTTATTTGGTTACAATAACATTTAAAATCGATTTCCTGTGATACTACAGTTTGATAGTGCAAGCTTATCTCTATATTAAAACAAACTTTACCCTTGCATGTTTTGATTTCTTCAACTTTCTATTTTAATCCACTTTTATATCTGATGTCAAGCTTTTTATTTCTTTACAAGTGTAGGATAGCACCGAAAAAGGGCCAATGGTATAAAATGTTTTTTTTTTAGAAAATGTTTTATTGAAATTCAAGTTTTGGCTTTTTGCTGTTGTTAAAGTTAAGCTTAAATAACAAAAGTTCTTCCCACATTTGAGATGTTCTTTCATTATAAAACAAAAAAAAAAAAAACAATTACAGTGACTTAGCCAGTACCTATGTTTTGTTGCCACAGTCACATTAGAACACAAATCACAACTATGTGGATCCTCAGATCCTGAGTGATCCTCCATTAAAAAATTGTTTTCCTTAGCTTAAGAGTTTAAATTATTTAAAATGAACCCACACAACATATTGTAGTATATAATTGTATGTATAATTTGTATGTAGATAGAAGTTGCTTGTCAGCTAACTCATGGTTTTATTTAAACCTGTTTATTAAATTTTTTGTTTTAAGACTAGTTTCAACAAATGAATCCAGTATGTATTTATCTTAAAAACACACATAATATAATGCAAAAAAAACACATGCTTGTAAAAGATATTGTTGGAACTGGAAATATTTTTCTTAGAGTACCTCTGAGAAAGGAGAGTTCAGTTGTGGCTGGGTGCATGTCCCCTTGCTGGATGAGACAGGGACAGTTATACCCAATAGGTCATTTGACCTCACTTTGAATGGTGGAACACCTTATGAAAAAGGGGTTGAGGTCGACCCAAGTATCAGCAGACGAAGTAAGTAACTGGTTTGTTTCACTTTACTCCGAGTATTCAGATATTGCTTTAGTTGATCTGATTTGTTCAATCCAATTTAGTTTATCTGTTTTGTTAAATCCGGTTTAGTTGACCTGTTTTGTTTCAGTGTAGCTTAGCTAAGCTGAACATAATTATTGCGCACATCAGAATGTATTTTATGTTATAATTGTTAATAACTTCAGGAAAGTATGTTTTTTGGATTAGTTCCTGTTAGAAATGTGTACCTTTTTATAAACTTCATATAAGAGAACTTTTCATAATGTTTATTAATTAAGCCATAAAAAGATATTCTGGAGTTTTACTTTAGCAAAGAACAATTTATATTTTGTTTGTATAGCCCCCCTTCTATTTTATTAAGTAATTTTATTTATTTTCTTAAGGAAAAATATTTATGAGTGAAAGATGACATTCCAGACTTTGAAATTTTTTAATCTGTATTTTTCCCCCACAGCCAACAACAGCCGTTTAGTGACATTGATATCTGGCAACAAGCAGCCCAAAATGATTGTAAAAATTACTGCACCCAAACAACAATATAAGGATCTTATGGAGTAAGGCTGGAAATAATAAGTTGTTGTCTTCAGTTAGAGGTATAGATAGGGGAGGGCAGGTGGAGTGGGGCGCCCAAGGGGGCACCAAAAGGGGTAAAAAAAAATAATTAAAAATTAATTTTAAACTGAAGTATTAAGTTATACACAGTCTGAGTTTAAAAAATTAACAGCTACAAGACTTTATACACATGAATTAACTGTTTTCTTCATCAATTGTGTGGCACCAAAATAAAAACTGTTATAGGATAGTGAATGGCTAAAAGCACTACGCACCTTTCCAACAATGGGAAAAGGGGAGGGGTGGCTTTTCACCTGCATGAATAGCATAGCCTATATATAATTGGAAAGGGGGGGGGGGGGGGACTGATAGTATGCACCAGGCAACAGAACAGGTTGCTATTCCTCTGTCTTCTTTGTTTTATCTTCGTTTAGTGTTTTTTTAAACTTAATAGAAACAATGCAACATATTTCAATGTCAACTTGTTTTTAGTATGTGTTACTTAATTTAGAATTAATAGTGTTTGTCAAGTAAAGTTTTTTGAATTGACAGCACGCTGCCAGATACAGTGATGGGGAACACGTCACTTCTTCCCTTCTACTCGTACTACCGTCATTGTTTAGCTGACACACTACTGAGGGACAGGCTGGACTTAGATTCTACAGGTCCAATTTTATTCTGGTCTTCACAATTGTTCTACTTCATGTAACTCTGTAAAGTAAAACAGTAATTTAACTTACAGAGCATAGGAGTTTTTTAAAAAATGTATTTAATAGTCCTTTGATAAGGCACTGGTTCTGATGAAGTTTTTTTTTTCTCGTATCCAGAGCTTATTCACAGCCCTGTTCTTAAAGTTTTTCCCAAGGTGGCTGATATTCCGGACTTGATGAAAGTACTGAGGGTATGTTCAACTTTTGCCACATACACTATATGTTAACACAAACTGATAGGCCTACATACACTGTATGTTAACACAAATTGATTCTTATGAAAGACTCCAACAGGACATAAAAGCATTGAGTTAGGCTTATCTCCTCTCTGTATCATTAGCAGTAGATAAGGGTTAGGGCTAGAGCTATGGTTACGGTAAAATATCTGTTTAAAAACAGTTTATTATGACTAGTCAGCATTTTTTACTGCACAAATATTTTGAAACAAAAGACTACAGTAAATAAACATTCAGATTCATTACAGTATATAAAACAATAATACTTTTAAAAATAAGTAAATAAACAATAACAGATGACTAGTTCAAAGAAACAGACAAGACAATTGTAGCCTTTATGCTGACCTGTGACCAGGGTTGTTAGTACCAGGGGGATAATTTGTTCAGTGGGAATAGCTATAGGGATAATTTGTAGGTATAAATACATGCAGGTTCTAGAATCATGCTCTCTCTTGACTCACAAGTTTAGGGTTTAGCCTCACTCAGCAGAATGGTTAGTTGATCCCAAATAAAGTATAGTAACCTAGCAAGTCTCCAGTTTTGTTTGTAATGACTGTTAGTTTACTGTGGTTGGTTTTGGTGACATTCATAAATACCCTTAGACAGAAATTCATTCAGTAAGCCATTAAGTTACAAACCCAAACCAATTGTAAAACAATACAAACAGGACAGAAGATTTGCCTAGTTGCTGTTGTGTCAGTAAAACAATACAAACAGGACAGAAGATTTGCCTAGTTGCTGTTGCCACTGTAAAATATGTATACACTTTAGATTTGGGTATATAAAAACAACCATCTGTGCAGCTTAATTGTCTTTTTGATGACTTCAGCAATCCAATTATCTGCTTAATTTTTTTCCCAGGTTGCATGGTTTGAAAAGTTGCAGGATGTTAAAAGAACAGAGAAGGTAGGTAATAAATCTGTGCTGTTGTCAAATCAGAACCAATTATAGCAGGTTGGCTCAGCCTTGAGTTCCCTCCCTTAGAGCACTCACTGTTGCACCTGAAGTCTAAATCCAATTGGGGTTGAGATTTTGTATATGGTAGAAATAGCAATGTTAGACTTAGTGTTATTTTAATGCCTTAACAAAACAAAGGTGCCAGAGAAATAGTTACTCTTAAGACAGAACAGTATAGCCAGATAAATGTATATAATCTGACCAGTCAGCTTCACAAAAATAATGCTTTCCCTCTGATCTTCTTAACACTAGCAGAATTTTAAAAGTATTACTGTACTATATATGTGACATATACAAAAATGCAGATGTTCAGTTACATAAGGAAGACTTGTAATGCAAGCTCTTGCACAGGGTCGATGCTGAACGTGGACGAACAATCCAATAAAGAATACAGAACTACGGTGTTATATTTCCATCATTATTATGTATAATACATACAGCTACATTGACAATAGACGGGACATCCTAACATGATGAGAACAAGACTAAGGCTGACTTCTACTATCTTCCTAACAACCAAAACATACTCTCCTATGTCACATCCTTATTTCTTTTATTCAGAATCTTTTATTAATCATTCTACACACATACTCTCAAACCATCAACATCTTTATTGAACACATTCAACTACACTCATACTCTCAAACCTTCAACATCTTTATTAAACCTGTTTAACCACACACATACTCTCGAACTCATTCAATACACTAAAGTCCATTCACAACAAAGACCATATAAAAATATGAAATATTATACATTTTTAAATATGTAGATGAAGTCACTGTTCAGTTCTGCACATGAATAGTATTCTTATTTTTATTTCTTAACAGTTTGGTTCTAGATTTAATTTTTTTTTTTACTTCACCTTTTCACACCCACATAATAAACATGTTTATTGTTTGAAAAAAATCACATTTAATGTTCTTTTACATTTTTTTTCTAGCCAAGATTTGCATTTGGCACAAACCCACTGGTAAATTGAACATGTGTTGTTGTGTACACATCATTATCTCCCTTTTTGTTACTGCCCTTTAAACAATTTCTTTTAGTCACAGTGGCAGAGTTGTAACCCAGAGGCATAGCGACCCTTCCCGGCGCCCGGGGACAAACTTTCGATTTGCACCCCACCCCCTTGAACTTTTCATTTGCATCCCCCGCTCAAACTTTCAATTTGGCACTTCTAAAGTCGGCGCCCAGGGACATTTGTCCCGCCCCCTCCCCCCCCCCCCCCCTCCCTCCCTAGCTACGCCTCTTTTGTAACCTCTTGTATAACTAACAAAGATAAGCTTCTCTACATCATAGCATGGGTATGTGTTTTTGTATTTGTGATGGAATAACAAATTATAATATGTACTCTAGGTCTAGTCTGTAACTGCTTGCTCCAACATAGCTAGTTTGTTATTGCTAGTCTACAAGTCCAGCTTATAAAATCTAGAGATACTGACTTGCTGCTAATGAAAAGGTTAAAGTCTTGACTTCTCTTATGTTAAACTCTACAGAACACATTCGGCAGGCAACAATGCCAAATGTGATTAAACTTCATACAACCAAAAAAGTATTGTGTATAGAGACTTTTTTCTTATACAACTTCACCTTTATAAAACTATCAGTCAACAACACAAAACATTAACAATATTAGCACAATCACTAATCAATTTTCTTTAAATTATTTTCATTTAAATAATCACAATCAATTTTATTTAAATTAATTTACATTTAAATAATGTGCTAGTTTTTACATAAAGACTTACCATGGACTACAGTAACATTGACAAAAAATGGTAAAGACGTGAAATTATTTTTAAATTTATTTTAGTCCTGTTTCAAAAATGGAATGTAAATGTTATTGTCCAAATCAACTTTAATACAGAAAAATAGATAAAACCCTAAAGGAACTTCAATACATGATGCTAAAATCACAACCTTAAAAAACATAATCAAAACAAAATTCCTAGATCACAACTAAAATTGCATGTGATTTATGTATATTCATCATATCATATTTTGGTGTTTTCAAAGTTTTTTCTTCATTTCTACCTATGATGCTAAATATGAGTATTGTCTTTTGATTTTGAAAACTTAATTCTTGCTTCATACATGTTAATATTGTTGTAATGTAAACCTTTTGCTTGAAATGCTTGCAATGATTCTCTTTTTTTGTATTGAAATCTGAATTCTGTTTAAAATTTCCCATTAGATGGTTTTATAGAAATGGTTAACAAACCATGACCTGCTTCATATTTTTCTAGCTAATAATATACCTTTGAATACTGCTACTGAGGGGACTAGGTTTTATTCATACAAGTTTGATAGGTGAAAGGAAGGCAGTGATTAATATATTTTTTTAGTTAATTATTGCTGATAATGTTTCGTGATGTAAACTATTTCAGTAAAAAAGAATTCAAGTGAAGCCATACAAATACAATTGTGTAAAATGGATTAACAAGGTTATAGGAAGACTAGAATTGTAAAAGATGAACTCTAGCATGATGGGGAAAACAAAAAAAGTTTTGAATGATATTTATTCTTGATCATAGCACTTTGCTTTGTTGTAGATAAGCCCAAAAACAAATGTTCATATAGTGCCTGGGGTTGTCAAAACAAGAATTTATGGATAGGTTTCACCCTAAAAGTGAAATTTAAAAAATTTAATGTAGGAGGCTTGTATTTTAGATTACTTAAATACTTTTATTGATATGAATACAAATGAAAATATAGTTCACAATTTTTTATGACCTTTAAATGACCTTCAAAATAGCCTTTGCAACTATATTTATTAACATATTTATGAGCATGATAATGAAAAAAGTATTAATGTTTAAGAACTAAAATTTGCAATCATATTAGTAACATAATACCTCGTTTACACAAATGCAACATGCATACTATACATTTCTAGGTAAAAAAAACTCACACAAAGTTAATGTAATATGAAAATATTTTTCCCTCTGAAAATGCTTACTTTCTGTTAATTTTTTTTTTTACTAGACTATATAGGTTGCAAGTGTAAATGTGATGTAATGATGTGTATTTTGTTACTTTCTTGTTTCTTTATAGAAAGTAATGTAATCTTGCATAAAATCAAAATCGAGATGTTAACGTTTTACACCTCCCTCAGTCAGAAAAACTTAGTTTCGCAATTTTGTCTGTGGGTGTCTGTGTGTCTGTCTGTGAACATAATAACTTGAGTACTATTACAGCTAGGTTGATTAAATTTCATATATAAGTATAATATCAGATTTGTTGTTATGTATCAGTTTTTCATCCGCTGGTGACCGGAAGTGGAACTTATTCTACTTTCAATTTTTCTATAGATAGACGAAATTTCACATATAATAATAAAAGATTTAACTCTCTGTTTTCTATCAAATTTTGAGTAATTTCTGGTAACTAAAAAAAGTATTTAACACTATTTCCGATTTCTTAGCCTATGAATTTACAAAGTAGTAATGGTCCGCACTATTATACACGCATTGTTCGCTGTTCACTATGTGCGCAATTCTTTTTTCTAGAGATTCTATTTTAAAAAGTGCAAGTATGTAAAATTTGATTAAAAATCATATCTATATTCTGAGTTGCCCCCGAAGTGTTATATAAGAATATTCGAGAAAGTTTAGGGGGGTTTTATTTTATTTTTATTTGATTTCCCTGAATAATCAATTTTAAAAAAATTAAAATAGGAAATTATATTTATTAAAGATTAGAACCAAGCTTCACATGATTATAGTACTGAAAAAAATTATTAAAATTGGATAATTAATTAATTAATTAATTAATTGTTTAAAATTAAGCATTATAAATGAGATAAACTAACACAAAACAATGTTTTTTTTTAATATTAATTAAGCCAAACCTCATTAGCATTATAAAATAAAGATTGGTATAAAATGATCATAAAAGGTTCACAAAAGGTTCATTTATTCCTTTAGTTGAATATATTAAAAGCAAACAACGTAGTTTTTATGATAAATTGGGTGATACATGTCTGCAAATTTAGAAACCAAACACCATTGAAGCTGTGGAACTCTCCTTAGAACAAAGACAATTATTGATCCCATTTGTTGTGCTGGCTGTAGAGCTCATTAGTAGTACTCAGCCTCCCATTTGGCCAGATAGCTCCTGCTCTAACTTAAATGAAAATCAATTCAGTTTACCCTGCCATCAATTTCATCCAGTTTTTATAATTTAAACTGCAGCCAGGCTCAGAAATTGCTTTGTCGTTCAAATTTATAAAAATGAAAAGTTTCTAGTCGTGCATTCTTTCATATTTTTTCTTACAATACATACACTAAATTATAAAACTCTTAACTTTGTAACCTTTGAAGAGAATTATTAGCCTAACCATGTTTTGATGAAAAAGTTTTTTAGCATTAAGTATTTTGTTTAGCATCACAAGTTGGAAAAAACATGAATACTCAGGACTTATTAAAGAAGGGGGAACTGTTGTTTTTATCAAAATTTACATGGTAGTTTATTGGTCCATTTTAAGTGCTCATTATCTTGGAGGAAAACATTTAATATTTTATGGAAGTGCCTGAACTAATCATGTGTTTTGTTTTAAAGTATTGTACTTTTAGCTAAATGGAAAGGACTTATCTGGTTTTTACTTCAGCTTCCAAATTATTTGAAACAATTCTAAGCTTCCTAATCATTTTAGCATTAATAGAATTGAATAAAGGAATCTATAATGATTACTTTAAGTGAAATAAAATAAAATGAATAAACAAAATGTACCGTGACTTAACACATTTTTACATAATGATTAATTTGAACAAAAAAATGAACAAGATATTCTGACTTAAAAACAGCAAAAAGAAAAACACTGGATATATATTTCTCTTAGTAAATAGTTATTATTACACTAATGTCAAGCGCTGCTATTTATAAACCCATCAGCTAATAACAGAAAGGCATGCTCTGGTAATCTTAGCATAGAGTGCAAGCATCTACATAATCGTAGTGTGGAAATAACGTGTCTGTTGTGTATTGATGTATTCTTGACATATTATTTCTGCTTGTTGAGTTTTATTGCCAGATTTGATGAAATGCCAGATTTTCCCAGCGCTATCTAGGATGAGGCGGAGTTGTCTTAGAACAAATGTGTTCATTAAATCTCAATCCAGCACATATTGCCAGCACGTTTCTAAAAAAAAAAAAAAAAAAAAAAAAAAAAATATTTCCACATTGAGTGTATTATAGCTTTATGCAACAAACGTGATGTTTTCCTGTTGTTAATTTGAAAGGTATCCATGTTTTATATAACATGCATGCCCTGACTGGCATTTATTTTTAGATCAAACTTTAAAAAATTGACAAAGAATGAGGTCAAATTGCTATGTGTAGGAGAAAGAAAAACGTCTGGAAGGCGTAATTGATCCAAAGACAATTATTTGTAACTGCTTAAAAATACAATTGATTTTTGTTTGATGTAATGATAAGCCTGCAGTCTACATCATGGGGAGTGTGTTGCCTTCTTGCTATTGATCATGGCATGGACAAAAATTGTGATTGATTTGTAAACCAAATTACTCACACTCCTAATGCTGCTAGAGAAAGCTATAAACACCTTACTTTAATTTTAAGTGGTGCGTTTTTTCCACCTGTGTAGTTTGTTACAATTTTAAAATATATATTATCAGTCAGTGAATTCATTTTAAGAAATAATTCTTCCTTGGGGGCGGCCTCTCTATTTTTTTATAGCAGCTTTTTTTTTTTTTTTTTTTTATAGGAATAGTACATATTTAATGGTTTAACAGAGTATGTGTTGTCAGCTTGAATGTGCTTTACTGTAAATGATGACACAATACCACCATCACTCTAGCTATAAATAATAAAGTACATGGCTAGTGGTATAGAGAATTATTTTTTTTGTTATTAAATCAGGGAGCTTATTTAAAGGGGAGAAATCTAAATGGGTAAAGATATTGTTAAAAGGAAGTAACTTGTCTGACTGAGAAATAATGTGGGGAGGGGGGGGGGGGGGCGGCTATTAACGGCATGTTTAATGGATGAATGGCTGTTTCCCCAGAGAGACGAGGAGTACATGAAAGATTTATTCAAGCAAGTTGTCCTGGAAACTGTTTACCCTTTGTCCCACCTAGCCTTGATACCAGAGTACATCATGGGGGATACAGACAACAACTTGGTATGTGCTCGTCACTTCTCACTCTGTGTGTACATCATGGCTTATCTGTGTACAGGATGGCTTTTTTCTGTGTTTGTATATGATGTCTTTATTGTGTGTGTACATGATGGCTTTTCTGTGTGTGCACATGATGGCTTTTCTGTGTGTGCACATGATGACTTTTCTGTGTGTGCACATGATGACTTTTCTGTGTGTATACAGGATGGCTTTTCTGTGTGTGTACATGATGTCTTTTCTGTGTGTGTACATGATGTCTTTTCTGTGTGTGTACATGATGTCTTTTCTGTGTGTGTACATGATGTCTTTTCTGTGTGTGTACATGATGTCTTTTCTGTGTGTGCACATGATGACTTTAATGTGTTCTTGTATGTTTGATGTGTATTATATATGTCCTGTGGTTGTTCTTTGTTTGGTGTGCACATGTTATGTTCTGTGTGTGCACAAATTAAAAACTGTTTACGTGTCATTTCTGTGTGTATGTTGTGAAATATGTGTGTCTGCTCTAGTCAAATCTAGATGATTTGTTTTTTTATGTGTGTTGTTTATTTTTGGGATGTTGATTTCCATATGGTCTTGTAAAACATTATGGGGAACTTGTGTTTGGTATATAGGGTTTTTTCATCTTTTTAATGTTTTACCCAATTGAGATTTCGCCAAATTTTGACGTTATATAATCTTCCAGAGCTAGAAAAACTTAGTTTTTCAATCCCGTTGGTCTGTCTATGTGTATGTAAACACGATAACTTGAGTACCATTTCAGTTAGGTTGACGAAATTTCATCTAAAAGTATTATATTAAATATGTAGTTTTCTTTTAAAATTTGAGCGATTTCCGATAACTGTTAGTGATAATTACTCCACTTCTGGTTTCTCAAACGTCTATAACTTGAGTACCTATAAAGTTTAGTAGACAAAATGTCAAATATAAGATTGTATGTGAGGGTTCTATCAAATTTTGAACCAATTCTGATAACCAAAAGTGGTACATTACTCTATTTCTGTGGGAACATAATAACTTGGGTATTGTTTCAGTTAGGTAGTTGAATTTGTGTATGTAAGATATTACAGTTGGATCACTCACAAATTTTGAGTGACTTTTCATTTAGATGAGCACATTTTTATACATAGCTTTAAGATCTTATTATCTTGATTCTATCAATTTTGAGCTATTTCAGTCAACCGTAAGTCGTAATGTACAGCATTTCCGATTTCTCATAAAAAATTACATGTACTGGTGCACAATTCTTTTTGCTACTCGATTTTATTCTATTTAAAAAATTTAAGTAATAAAAAAAAAAAAATTTCTATTTTTTAACTACTGCACTAAGAGTGTCATATCTCTTATTGTTATATAAGAATAAATGAGAAAGGTGAGGGGAGATATCTTCCGTTTTTTAAGTCTGTCTAAATGTGTTAGAATCCATGGTTAATGTGTACCTTTATGTGGACATAAAAAATGTTTTTTTTTTAGCTCCGACAGGAACAAGTGGCCAGATTTTGTGAGATGAAGAAAGCTGGTAGAAATGCCTTGGCAGCACTCTTGTCAGAAGATCTGGACTACAAGCCTTTTGAAATAGATGAGGCAGCTTTTAATATCATTGGTCCTTATTGTGTGACCAAGTCACTAGTGGTGAGTACTGCTAGCATTTTAGCAAATTTTATTTGATCCCCATTTATTCCATTCTTTTTTTTTTTTTTCATTGATTTTGTATTTGTTCTTTTTTTTTTTTTTTTTTTGCACAATAAAAAAAAAAACTTTAAAAATAAAAACCTTAAAAAAAACCTTTACAAGAAAATGTATATAATAAAAAAAAATTGTTTTACTTAATAAACTGTATTTATTGAACGAATATTTTCCCTAACAAAAATCCCAAGTTGTAAAATATATACAAGTTTTATAATATTTTCTTATTGTTGCAAAATAACAGTTATCAATGTTTGTCATGCTTGTTAATTTGTTTTTGTTTTGATGTTTCTAGACCGCAGAGGGTTAAAGAAGCCTGATTATGAGAGGTACCTTCAAGAAAAGAATTCCAGGGTTGTATTTAAAAGATTGCTCACACAAATATTAATTGAAACAGTTAAGTTTGTATAAAACATTAAGTTTTTATTAAGCAGCAAAAATTATACTATGTATTTATTTAAAAAAAAAAACACAAAAAGTCTAGTGTGTAGCCAGGTGAGAAATAGAATACCAATGGCAACACAGGTCCCTCTCTCTGTCTTGTGTTGACATTGTTTAAAGCTTGGGGATTATTTTCTCACTATTGTTGTGTCTGCTTTAATTAGCCACTAGCAGCCAGAGGGCTGAACAATACCTACTGTTTATAGCTGAGCTTGTTTGTTTTAGAGATTAATGGCTTGTGTAGTAATCTTTTATAACACTACCAGGGTCAATAACTCCGTCCAAGAAAGTTTTTTTATTTATTTGTCCATTTAGTATAGTCAACTATTTTAATTCATTCCCATATACACTTTATATTATTCATCTAGTTTATTAAATCTATTTAAATCTATTAAAATTTAATGTATTATCACAAGGCTGTTGGTTATTGATATGATTGTTAAATTATTTTGACCAAGCCTTTAATTTACTTATAGAAGAAATAAATATTTTTTTACAAAACTCTTGTCTTAAAATTAATCTAATAATTATCTGTGAATGTTTATCTGGCTTGAATAAATCTAGAATTAACTGTGAATATCTATCTGGCTTAAATTCATCCAAAATTATCTGAATGTTTATTTGGCTTAAATTCTCATGTTAAACCTGGCCAATCACTGCTACATAAAAACTATGCTGAGAAATTTAAACTGAACCATTGGTGGCAGGTTGTAGCCCCTAAGACAGTGAAGCTAACATCCAGTTTAAAAAAACATTGTAATATCTACTGTTATATTTCATTTACTATTTTATGTTGGAAAGTTTTCTAAGTAGGGCTATTTTTAAAAGTTTAGTCAGCCTAGAAATTGAGGGAGTGTTTTAAGAAAAAAAAAATCACAACCTTCATAGAAACAAAACAACCACTTGATCACAGTGTAGGAAAATAAAAATAGAATTGGCTGTTTGTTACCGTAAGGAAAAACAGTGTTATTTAGAAAAAAATAATACTTATTCAACTACTATTTAACAATTATTCTATAAATTCTTGTTTTTGTGAAATTTCTGCAGTGGGACAGAGATGTAATACATTTAAATAATTCCTGGATGAATGTAAGGTCCCACTGCAGAATAAAAAAGCATTAGTGTCAGTATAGTTGAGTGGCCATTACATGGGATGACGATGAATCAAGCAGGATGCTTATTGATTTGTGGTAATGATGTAATCTGACATTAGTCTGATTGAGTGGCCAAAGAAGGGGGGGGGGTAGTGCCAGTTAGATGTGGTCCGTGAAATCTTTTCGAATAATTATGATACCTGGGTCTGTTCTGTGAGGTCATGCTACCTGGGTCTGTTCTGTGAGGTCATGCTACCTGGGTCTGTTCTGTGAGGTCATGCTACCTAGGTCTGTTATGTGAGGTCATGCTACCTGGGTCTGTTCTGTGAGGTCATGCTACCTGGGTCTGTTCTGTGAGGTCATGCTACCTAGGTCTGTTATGTGAGGTCATGCTACCTGGGTCTGTTCTGTGAGGTCATGCTACCTGGGTCTGTTCTGTGAGGTCATGCTACCTAGGTCTGTTATGTGAGGTCATGCTACCTGGGTCTGTTCTGTGAGGTCATGCTACCTGGGTCTGTTCTGTGAGGTCATGCTACCTAGGTCTGTTCTGTAAGGTCATGCTACCTAGATCTGTGAGGTCATGCTACCTAGGTCTGTTCTGTGAGGTCATGCTACCTGTGTCTGTTCTGTGAGGTCATGCTACCTGGGTCTGTTCTGTGAGGTCATGCTACCTGGGTCTGTTCTGTGAGGTCATGCTACCTGGGTCTGTTATGTGAGGTCATGTTACCTGGGTCTGTTCTGTGAGGTCATGCTACCTGGGTCTGTTCTGTGAGGTCATGCTACCTGGGTCTGTGAGGTCATGCTACCTGGGTCTGTTCTGTGAGGTCATGCTACCTAGGTCTGTTCTGTGAGGTCATGCTACCTGGGTCTGTTCTGTGAGGTCATGCTACCTGGGTCTGTTCTGTAAGGTCATGCTACCTAGGTCTGTTCTGTGAGGTCATGCTACCTGGGTCTGTTCTGTGAGGTCATGCTACCTGGGTCTGTTCTGTGAGGTCATGCTACCTGGGTCTGTTCTGTGAGGTCATGCTACCTGGGTCTGTTCTGTGAGGTCATAATACCTGGGTCTGTTCTGTGAGGTCATGCTACCTGGGTGGGTCTGTTCTGTGAGGTTATGCTACCTGGGTCTGTTCTGTGAGGTCATGCTACCTGGGTCTGTTCTGTGAGGTCATGCTACCTAGGTCATGCTACCTGGGTGGGTCTGTTCTGTGAGGTCATGCTACCTGGGTCTGTTCTGTGAGGTCATGCTACCTGGGTCTGTTCTGTGAGGTCATGCTACCTGGGTCTGTTCTGTGAGGTCATGCTACCTGGGTCTGTTCTGTGAGGTCATGCTACCTGGGTCTGTTCTGTGAGGTCATGCTACCTGGGTCTGTTCTGTGAGGTTATGCTACCTGGGTCTGTTCTGTGAGGTCATGCTACCTGGGTCTGTTCTGTGAGGTCATGCTACCTAGGTCAGTTCTGTGAGGTCATGCTACCTGGGTGGGTCTGTTCTGTGAGGTCATGCTACCTGGGTCAGTTCTGTGAGGTCATGCTACCTGGGTCTGTTCTGCGAGGTCATGCTACCTGGGTCTGTTCTGTGAGGTCATGCTACCTGGGTCTGTTCTGTGAGGTCATGCTACCTGGGTCTGTTCTGTGAGGTCATGCTACCTAGGTCTGTTATGTGAGGTCATGCTACCTGGGTCTGTTCTGTGAGGTCATGCTACCTGGTTCTGTTCTGTGAGGTCATAATACCTGGGTCTGTTAAGTCACATCACCTGGGTAATGTTGCCATGGAAACCCCTGGTGACGCAATTGAACCACAATTAACTGATTTGAAGTAATTACTACATTTGTAACTTCTGAGCTCATTAGCTAATGAGGCAGATGATTCTTGTCCCTCCATCTACACCAGAATCTCAAAAAATCAATGCTGACTTGATGTATTACAGTATTCATTATTTTGCTTGTGTATTCATGTTTCTTTATTTTTAAATACAGCTCTAGATAAATGCCATCTTGCTGGGGTTTTTTTTTTCAAATATACTAACACAGTAACACTGTCTAGAGTTGTGCAGAGAGCTTTAGCCACAGGCATGTCGTGTAATACGCCAGTTATCCCTTGATATTAAGAGTTATAATAGAGTTAATGACATTTCACAACTGATTATTTCCCTTGAAAAAAACGCCTCTCAAAGTTTTAATCAACGGATAGCACAGACCTCATTTTATGTTTCACTATCGACCGAATAGTATCAGAAGTTATCCTTATATAAAAAAAAAACAAAAAACAAGCCTACCTATTTGTTTGCGCGTATGTACATGCGCACTTAGCCAGGAAATGATTGCGTCTTAGAACATCCACACAATTTCGTACTATTTATAGTAACGGTGATGCATAAGAGATCGTATATACCGTATTATGATTTAAAACTATTGATCCGTACCCGAGTTTAAAAAATCTAGTGTTGTTTGCTAATCGTTTTAGTCATCGCGTTCAATGGAACGGCAGTAATGGTTTCAAAACGCACTAGTATCGATTACAGAGGTCTTTGAAACACTATAGGAGACATTTACCGCCTAGTTGCGGGTGTCTGGAGCGATGTTAAGAAAGTAGTTACTGTCTCTCCCTGTCTCACTTCAGCTCGCATGGCTCACGATTCTTCTCGCAATCTCGGTCGCCAGTTTCTATAAATTGTCAATAAACCTTCTATTTTTAGCTTTGTTCTATATTTAGAACAGAAAATATGTTACTTTTATGATTGTTTTTGTTTTATTTATTTATTTTTACATTTAAAAAAAAAACGATATTAGAAATTATTTTAAGCTACTCTAGTGTTCGCACGTTGGTTATATATTTAAATGACGCAGACTGCGAGTGTTAGGGAAAGAAATAAAGACGTGCGTTAGTTTAAAGCCAGACACGGAACGGCCCACGGGAGAAAACAATGCGACCTACCAACCCACAGCGGCCCGCCGCACTGTAACATTTTCAAAAATAGAAACCATTTCATTTGATCGTGATAAACCCGCGTGACGTCAGTCAAGTTTAAATTAAAGAAACCTTTGATAATCCAACACGGCATCGGGAGTTGTCTATCCAGCGATAGGGAATTAGTTAGTAAATGATGTTCGCTTTACATTCTGGATACTTTTCGCTTAGGGTGAGTATCGAATGTTATTTATTTTAAGACTTATTTTAAAAAAAAGATTTTCTCAAATAACATTTACATGAGAGCTCATTTTAAGTTTGTAAAGGTTAAGCATTGTTTAAAGAACACAGTGTTAACATGTCCGATTAGGATGATGAAAGGGGAGATAGGCGGTCAGTGTAATCGTGACAGAGTAGTCGGCGGTGTTGACAAACTATTCGAAGCAATTTTTTTTTTTCTGATGTAGCTTTGTTGAATTGCGTTATAAAATGATGATACACACTTTTATAAATAAATAAACTATTTTCTTCTGTCTTTGTGTCGCTAATTAAATGAGCTAATTAGTTTTCGTTTGCTGCTTATGACATACATTTCGGCTTTATAAAAATATTGATAGAGCTTCTCCACATTATATAACGCAGTACATATGACTTTATTGGACAAGCACACCTCTCATATACTTTTAGATAACAGTTTCAAAGACCAAAACTCTCCAAAATTAGACCTATATAGTAGATATAATACATAACCCCCTCCCCCTGCAGTACAGTGAACTTTAAAGAAGATTGTGTTGAACAATTTTATGTAATTAGTTTTGCTAGCGTTGGTGTTCACTGCTTACTTTTAAAAAGACAATCATAGAATATGTTGCAAATGTGTGATTGTGTATGATAATTGTAGTGAGAATATGTTGCAAATGTGTGATTGTGTGTGATAATTGTAGTGAGAATATGTTGCAAATGTGTGATTGTGTGTGATAATTGTAGTTGGAATATGTTGCAATGTGTGTTCGTGTGTGATAATTGTAGTGAGAATATGTTGCAAATGTGTGATTGTGTATGATAATTGTAGTGGGAATATGCTGCAAATGTGTGTGTGTGTGTTTGTGTGTGATAGTTGTAGTGGCAATACATTGCAAACAGCGTATACAATTTATTACTAGGTAGTTTTTTTGGACAAAAATATATGGTAGAGACGATTGACATGTGCAAGACACACTCTGTTAGAACTACGTCCGTGTGTTACAAGGTTAGAACAGGTGTGTAACACACAAACACACGCGACCCACAAGCACACGCGACCCACAAACACACGCGACCCACAAACACACCTGACCCACATATGTAAGTAGGGGTTCTACATACACACATGCGCATACACGATCCACATATACAGTCAGGGTTCTAAAATACACACATAAACATACACGACCTCACAGATGTAGATAGAAGTACAAACA